TATCCTCAGTGGTGAGATGGGCCATCTAACCATATTGTATATATAATCATTAGTTAGTTACTTATAAGACGTTAAATTATACATTAATTATATTTAAATTTAATTTCATAAACTTTAAACAGTTTAAAATTATTAGAATAGTGAATATCCCTAAAATTTCAAAATTTGAAAACCAGAAATTCTAAAAAAATCTTCTATATTATTTTTAAGAATCTAACAATAGCTATTTTTTCACCAAATTAATGTATTTTTATTTTTATTTTTTTATCGTTACAATAAATTATTTTTTTTATTATATATATATATGTTACGGTAAATGATATTTAAAGGAAATTAAATTCATACTGTAGCAATATTATTTATTACATTGATAAATAATATGTTCTTATATTCAATATGAATCTTTATCTTTATTTTACCATGAACAATTTACATTAAATATAAATAGTATAGTTAAGTAATAAATTAAAATGAAACCAAAAAATTACTATTTGATTATCACAAAAAATAATTAAGTACCCAGTGTATCTAAAATATAGCTCTCTATTTTCTTATCACTTTAACAGCTATTTAAACCATTATAAAGGCTATATGCTTAAATTTCAGTACTCGCCAATAATTTATCATTATCTTTTCATTTTCATTTTGATTTATATTACATGTCTTAGAATATAGATTCTTCTAGATAAACTATTAATACATTTTCCCATCTTTAAGTTTGAAAAGCATTGATGTGTTTACATTCTGTTTAGCTTAAATATTGACTGAATTAAGTAAAATCCACTTAAACAGTGTTTGGCTAATAAATTTGAAACTTTCCATAAGTATTTTATTACATCCATACCTAATAAGCACACGTACTAACAGATACACAATATTTCAGTCTCTGTCATTGTAATTCAAACTACTTATAAAATACTAAAAATGTATATTAATAAATAAATGAATTATTAAATCTAAAATCGTCCGATTTTTATTAAATTATAAAATTCTATAAAATATTAATTAAGGCATCAAAGACATTTTATTGTTTAAAAATTATACTGTCATTGCTTTCTTTAAATTATTTTTAATATGCTAGTAATCAATTTTTTTTATTAACTAAAAATTCTATTTTTTTTAATTTTTATAATTTTATTTTGCTTGTACAAATTGTAAAGTATTAAAAATTGCAACCTGAAATTCAGGCTAAAGATTTTTTTATTACTTAACTTGTATGTTATTATATAATATTTTTAATCTTGTTAAAAATGCGTTGGTTTTCAACTATATCATAGTCTTACACATTGACTTTTTAAATTTATTGAGTTTTTTCTTTTTTATTTTTATAAGCACTTATTTATTGCCTCAAAATAATACTGCAAATAAAACTCACAAGTTATTTAATTTTACAAATAGCTTTTATACTTATGATATTATTTAATTTTAACAAAGAGTGTAACACAATGTCTTAATATTTTTTTAAAGAATCATCTTACATTTGATATTACCTATCTAAAATACTTTATTTTTTATATTAAAAGTTGCATACTATACATCAACGATAACAATAATTTACAGAGTTAAAAATCGTATTAATAATTATTTATGTTGATGCTTAACTGGCAATAAAAATTACAATGCATTTTAAATTACTTAAAAATTATTTAATACTATATATTCACTAATTACTTTATAAATTTATAAACCTATTTTAAATATCAATAAATAAGACTGTTTGAATTTAAATGTTATTAAAAAATTCTACATTCAATCGTCATTGTAGTCAAAATGCTCCCTAAAAAAAGTTATACATTTATTATTTCTTACAAATAAAAACAATTACTAAAATACATTTTAAATTTTAAATATAACTTAAAGCCTCGTGGTACGTTAGCAACAAAACTCTTCACGATGATCTCAAAATTCTTACTCTCTCTATACTTGTTCCGACTTACTATAAAAAATTTTAGTCTAACACTTTAGCCTACCAAAATCCCCTTATATCAAAATTTTTTTCTCTCAATCTTACGAGTAATCCACTTCGCCGCTTAAAACGTAATTGGACACGCGATCTCTAAATATATATTTGTTAAAAAAATAATATATAATAATATATAGAATTATAAATATTTTACAACTAAATAATTGCCTGTGTTATGAAATTTAACTAATTTTGACTCGGTTGAAAAAAATACTTCATCATATTTTTCTTTCTCATAAATTATATTCTTTGTCAATAATTTAATCAACTTTAGGCAATTTCAAATTTTATTGATTTGAGTCTGAAAAGTCAATTATGCAAAGATCTGTCTTTCTAAAATAAATATTAAAATAAAATTACCGTACTTGTATTCATCAGAAGTTTATAAATCAAGTTTAATGGCGGCATAATAGTTTACCATTGCAGTAGAATAACATAAAAATGTATTGAATTTTCGACATTCCTTTCAACTATTGAAAAGTTATGGAAAAAAAATCAAAACAATTTATACTTTAACATTATTATTCATAAGCAACATTGATTTTAAATTATTATTGTACTATTACTAATTGAGACAATTGCTTTAATTTCGAAGTTTAAAATAGTAAAAATCTTGATTCAACCTGTATAAATGCCTTTAATTATATTTTTTCCCCAGGTCTACATTTATCTATATTTAGCCTTGATTGGAAGCATTGTTGTAACAATAAACAATCTCCTACATTTTATGATATATATAAATATACAATAGGTATAATACAGGTATTGATATTTTTTTTCATTTCATATATGTTTGTATAAAAATTCTAGTGTCGACTAATTTCATATACCTACATAGGTGCTTCTAAATATTTATATTTTCATACATCGAATAATATTGACTGACGTAAATGTTATTTTTTCGAACTATCAAATCAATATTTAAAACTATATTTTAATATTCAATATTTTTGTATCAAATATATTATCAAAAGTATTTTTAAAAAAAATTTTAAAACGTTTATTCACTTAACTGAATTTGATATATTTATATTTTTTAATTAGAAAATAATTGAGAATCGATTACAGACAAAATATAGTCAAAAAATGTTAAGTTTAAACATACTTTTAACACTTTATTAACTATTTTTAAAAATATATAAAGACTTCATGATAAATTTCTAATAACTTTAAAATATCTAGGATTTTATTACTTTAAAACAATACAAAATATGCTTTTTATAAATTGTGTTCTTTACTATGTTTTTAAAAACACATAAAATATTTTTAATTTTTAATAAAAATTAAATGCTTTTCAAAAGATATTTTAATTTTTTTTTTTCATACGAGAAATATTTTACAAAAAAAAGCTAAATAAAATTGATTAGTGGAGAGCGTTTTAATAGGATACGTTAATAGGCCACTGTTTTTGGCATGCCACTTCAAAAAGCGTTATATTTATACAAAATTGGTACAAAAGTTTTCATAACAATCTATACGTAATTAATAAAATACAAAATCGTAGTTTTATTTTTTGAGATTGATTCAAACCAAACGTACCTTAAATATGGATCTATGAAAAGAAAAAATGAATATTTAACGAGGCCGTTTACAAATACATTTTTAAAATTAATAAATGTATGGGGTTAATATTATAGATATTTTTAAGTTTTAATACGTACCATCATAATTTAATAAAAGTGATAACTGATAAACGTTATCTTTAAAAAAAATTTGCAAAATCATTTTTATTAAAAATGAATTATAACTTAAACTATCTTAAACCAAGACAGACAAAATATTTTACGAGTAGCTGAAGACTGTTTGAAATTTCAATATTAATATTCATAATATTATATTTTTTATTAAGTACAAGTTATACTCCAAGAAACGGAACAAAAAGTAGATAATGAAAATAATTTTTACAGTATAAAAAAACATAAACTTTTTTTTTTTTCTTTTGAAGAACCGAAGTACGGAATTTTCCCTTCCAGTAAATTTATATTAGAAAATTATTCTAACACAAAAGAAAATCATTTATGTATTTTTCATAAATACCTATACTTTTTCTACTTGCTTTAATTCACGTTTAAATTTTCATATTTTCAGACAAATATATGTTAATTTCAAGCATGTTTTCAAAATTAATTCGATTGTCATCATTATATGGATTATTTTAATTTAAATAAAATTTTAAAAACAATAATAATTTTATAAACGATTGCTAATAAACTCTTTATTATATACATTAGATATCAATAAGTTAATATGATTATCAAATTGTAATTTATGATTACATTAAGCATTATTTATATAGTTTAGATATTATATTATTTTCGTAATTATTCAAATAATATCAATAAATACAGATTTCATATTTAAAAAGAATACAAAATCATAAATAATAAGTAACATTATTAATAACCAATTATACAATTATAATGGAATAAATAAACAAGTATAGTTCTATTATAAATAGGAAAATATTGGTTTGATGCATTGTATTTATATAGAAGATTCCGAGTACTTAATCTTAAATAAGTCTACTCTGCATACGAAGACATAAAAGCTAATTTTCATAATACTTCTTTTGTTCCTGAAATTCAGAAAAATTAACATTTTAAATAATTTATAATGTTTCTGATATATACGATCACAAGTTTCACTTAAAATCTAAAACTCTAAAAATAAATATAGTTATGTAGTTAAAGATGCTAAAGGAGCTACAGCCTTCTCCGAAATTTCAGAAAAATTTAAAAGTGCTTTTAATATTCTATGAACGTATTACATTAGATGTAATAATTTATTAAAATTATAATTTACATGAATGTTCTGAAAAGTGTAAAACATTCTACACTCATGGCATCAGATTTTATAAGTACCAAATTTGAGAGATCTTATTTAAAGCTTATCTAGTTATTTTTACAACAAATTATCAGTTCCCCACCACCAAAAAAACGAAATCCTGGCTATGTCACTAGTCTATGGTTCAAATATATTAATTTATGTCATTTATTTTATATGTCTTTTTTTTTCTTTTTTTTTTTTTGACGTTTTTAGGAGTAAAGTGGCCGCAGCGTTACTGAACAAGCACCTACAGATCAACGGCATAAGCGCACTCGGAGCGCTATCGACTTCGGATGCTGTGAAGGACGTCGATGTGGAAACGGATCCGGATTCTGGAGCTTTTCGACCAGCGGCCTCGAGTAACAAAATGAAACGGGAACGGAAAGCGGCGCGTACCTTGGGTATCATTATGTCCGCATTCTTGGCGTGTTGGCTACCTTTTTTTACATGGTAAACGTTATTATTTGATATTATATACTATAATATATACATTTTTTCACATAAAACGTTACCGCTTTAGCTTTATTCCGGGTTTTTTTTTTTTTTTTGTTTTTTAATAATAACTTGTACCGGTAGGAACCCAACGTATGATGATGTGCGTCCTTCGTGCCTTCAGAAATCAACGGGTGCATCTGCGCTTTTTTTACAATATTCAGAAAAAATATTTAATATTACAAGTCCAGGCAGGTGTTTCCGTCATTAGTTATATATTTTACACTGCGGGAGACGGTGATACACAGTTGTGATGGAACAGTTTTCACTTATAAGCAACAACTAACAACAAAATCCATTGAACATCCGTAAAAAAAAAGCTGTTATATATAAACGCGTGGACGAAATTAATGAAAAAAGTTGTGTAGGTACACTAATATACTCGTAGTATCGACTATACTATATTTTCCATCATAATGGGTTTTTTTATATACCAGCATTATGACATAAATAATAAATTACATATTTACTAGGTATCTAATAATTACAAATATATAAAACTACGAAACTAGCGTTTTTAAACCAGGACATATATGTACTTCCTATATTATAATAACTAGAATTTATGTAACGAAACTTCTTGTTTTCAATTGAAAATATAAAATTTCATCTCGATTAGTTCAGAACACTCAAAACACTTTTTATGCAAAAACTATTGAAATATAACATTTAAGTTTCGGATCCTACATTAAAAAATATTATATCCTTCTTCACCACTTCTCAGAGCTATATTGAGTTGGCCACCTAACCCGTTTCTCATCACACCGAACGTCATCATACCTCACATGCCACTCCACATAATAATATGTGATATTATCTGCATATTAATTTCATTAAACCCTAGACATCACTTTTTAAGTCTATCTCGTCGAAAATATTATGAACGTACATGTATATAAGTACAAAAGCTTCAGAATAGTATTTTACTAAAGTTTCAACTATTATAAAAAAATATTTTATATCATGATAATAAACAAAAAATAGTGAATAGTAAATAATGAATAAAATATCCAAGTATAGATAAATACATCAATAAATTTATATATTTTATTATCTCAACCACTGTTGAATACATTTATTAAAAAAATATTATATTATTTTAAATGTGTTTTGTATCAGTGATAAATCAATGACAAAATTATTTATTTAACGAAAAAATGTATGAAGTTTTAAGAACCATTTGATATTCTCTCCAACGGTCTACTAAAATTTTATCAATTTATACATAATAATTCCATTTCTCTAACTATTAAAGTGATTTTATAAACTTCAAAGCAATGATAAATAATTTAATTCAGGAAATCATTCTAAATAGAATTTAAAATAGTTCACCCAAAAAAGGCTAAGTTTTTAAAAGCGAGTGCTTATTTTACAATTTTTTGCTATTTCTATTACAACACGAAAACTTTTTCAATCTTCAGCGATCGATATCAGCTTTATAGTTTTTAAGCTTGTATGTTTTTTCAGTGAAAAAAAAATACTTCACGTTAGAAATCTTAAAACCAATAATTACTCACAGTTTAACACATCACACATACCTATTCAGCTATTTAAAAATAAATTTTATCGATTTTTAGTATTTTTTTTTTTTTTTATTATTCACCTTTCCTGTTTACCTTCATCACTGCACATCGCTAAAAAAACAATTTCTCATGTTCAATGTTGATTCGTCATTTCACTTCAATGAACTTTATATCGAATTTGTTTAACATCAATGCGCGTATATTCGTTCTTGACAACTTATTCTAGGCGAACACTGGTAAAACTACACCAAAAAAAACCATCAACCAACACATAAAATGTATGCTAAAATAAAATCACAATTTTTTATAGCATCCTATTTTATTTACTCACGCTATGTACATTTAAAAACAAAATACATAATATAAATTAATTTTTCTAAATAGATTTTTCATTTTTCGCCAAGGCTATTTCTCAAAAGTTGAGAATTGAAAACAAAAATATAATATATAAAATGTAAAAATAAAGTACAATGTGTTGTATTTTGTATTATATACAACATAGCTTTCTCTAAATTCTTATCGATCACAAATGTAAACTTTAGCTACTAGTTAAAAGTTAAACAGCCGATTAGTAGTGTACCATTTATTTTATGTACCCTCTTGATAACACGCTTGACATTAACATTAATAACCTGGCCCTTGCGCAACCATTGTAGTTATCTATATTATTAAAGCAAGTAAACCAAATGAAAAATCTTTTCTTTGTTTTTTTAAGTTTATTTATTTATTTAAGTATCTACTTTCTATCTCATATATATATATATTATATAAACATCACTTATAGTAATTGTATATTAAAAACTAGCCCATTCGGTGAAAATATTTGAAAACGTCTTAACAAGAACCAAAGAAATTTTAATGAAAAAAATTACACAATGTTATTTCCAGGTGTTCAAGATCGATTTTATAAAATACTGCCTAATTAAGTTTTATACTAAGATTATTCCAGCTAACTTCTATTAGTAATATAAACTATGGTATCAGACATAATATCAGTCTTTCATGTACAGTAATGATTTATATATGTATTCTACTTTTTTGAGAAATTTTCAATAAACGTTCTCTGCATACCATACCTATACGACACTACTCTAAAGTAGAATAATGTTTTCACCGTATGAATGGAAACGGAATAAAAACGTAGATATTACATTTAGGCATCATTTATAATAATAACATTGTTCTAAAAGCTATCGTAGCCACGTTTTCCTTTATAAATCCCCACCACTGTAACACTTTACGAGGCGTTTGGTTGCAAAGGTTTGGATATTACGATGAGTAATAACTCACTTAAATAATGTCTGATATTCCATATACGTGGCTTTTGATGTTCAGATTCTATTATTGGTCTCTTTTTACTAAATAATCTAGCGTAGAAAGAAGAGGAAGAAATAGCTATGACGTGATAATAATTTATCAAGCACCGCAATCATTATAACGTGCGTGTGTATGTTATTATATTTTTTTCATACATTACAACTTGAGCGGAGCTTTTTGCATTCAAGTTACAGTTGCCCACGCTTTCACTCGCATTTTCTTCAATAGAACGCATACTAAGTGTACAAAATATTTTTTGTCGTGATTTGCGTATTACGTAAAATAAATTTCTAATACGAAGCATATATTTCATACATATTTCATGACTAACTCAATGACTAAAAAGTGAAACAATTGAATAATTTATATTCGTTATTGTATTGATATTTATTTTCATTAAATAATTTATAATAATTTATTTTCCTCCATTACTTATATTATTGAATCAATGTAATATTTCAGTTTACTTTCCATTTTCTTTATCAACGTTTTAAAATACATTTTAATTGTTTTGCTTACTATTGGTAGTAAATATGAAAATACATAATACAAAACCTTTACCTACTAACTTTTCAAAAGTTCACTTGTTAAAAAATTATAATATTTAAAATAATCGCTTTTGAACATTGAGTATATTTTTGAATATACATTTCCTGCAGAACAAACTAACATTTTTTTCATTAAAAAGAGTACAAATATTTAAGTATTTTGGATATAATTTAATATTCCTTCATTTAACATTTCGCACGTATAAATGTTTATTAAAATATAGTTTTAAAATTAATTCAACAATAACTTTTAAATTTATCGCAATAACATAATAATACATTAATACAATACTAATGAACTAATGTGTACACAATAATATTAATAACCAAACGGTTATTTTTACAACAAAAAAATGACATTTAAATTTTTTCATACAGACATAATAATAATATAGACATGTTGATTAATAATTAATTTTAAATACACAACGCACGGTGTTTATCTATATAATATCAAATTTTGCGCATTTGTAGTCATTATGTTTTAGTAATAATAATATTGTTCGTATTAATGTTTACCGAGTTTTACCGTGTATCGGGATTGCATGTTTTGTATAAGGGTAGGACGTTGATAGATCATATTTTTCAAAATACTCTTCCGTCTTCCCTTTTTCATACAATATAATATACAAATCATTATAATAATTATTATTATTACTATTATTATTATTATTATTATTAGTCATCATTACAAATTACAATAAATAAATCGTGTAACTCTTTAACTCGTAAATACAGGTATATGATAAGCTCGCTGATGGAAGCCGGTTCGTGGATGCCTCGGTGGGTAACGGTGCTCGTGTTCTGGGTGGGCTACTTCAACTCGGCTCTTAACCCGCTCATCTATGCGTACTTCAATCGGGAATTCCGGGTGGCGTTCCAGAAGACGCTACAGAGCTGCTGGCCCAGGTCGCCTCCATGGTGTCCGCCGTGCCAGCGCCGCCGATACGAGCAATCACGGAACGATACAACCACACCAACCGCGGCTTTCGGCCAGCAGAACATGTACAACTACAGCAACGCTTCCGAAGTGCATTATATGAACCCGGCAACCATAGCTCTGCTCCAAAACAACGGTGGCAGTGGCGACAGTGTTGGCAAGGGATGTCGGACCGAACAAAACGTTCTGTAGAAAAAAAATAATAACGCAACATGTGTAACGTGTACGTACCTATAGCTAATTTTTCTCCCCGAAAACCTACGCCACGACAATCTACTCCACAGCATACAAACTACAAAGGGGTTATAGGGCTGCGAGCAAATAAAATTTGAGGAGTGGTGGTTCCAAGGCGCAGACGCGGACCTCGTCAGTTAGAGTTGTTCAAACTATAAAACATATAGTGAGATTATCATTGTTTTCAGTAAGCGCGAGTGCAGAAAGTTTCACCCATGGCATTTAAAAATATGCTAGACACTCCTGAGTCCTGAAAAACACTGTAACTCTTAGCAAACCTGCAGACCTAAACACTGTTGTGAGTGCGTCACTAATGACTATTATTATTCGTTTACGTATTATTATGTCTACCTGCATAATATTATATATTACATTTTATTAATGTACAGTCTCTAGGTGAAAATAATAATTATAATAAAGCCAATGAAACATTTCACGTGATAACTGTAGCATGAATTCGAAACCTAAACTGAAAATTCCTTCAATGCCATAGCACAATCATAATATATTATTTATGATGGTAACTCTAAACACTTATGCTTTTATTGATGACTCGGTGAAATATCGTGGTTCTATTGCGTGTTATTATTATTATTATATAATATCCGTCGGCGATATTTCATTGTTTGACTATGCGGGGTGACACATGCAGTATATTGTGACCTTAACCCTAAATAATTAAACAAATCTCTGACCGTTGTCGAATCTCGTCGTCGCCAATTCAAATCGTTATCGCATTCATAAAAATATAATGACATAATAATATTATAGTGCAGGATTTCACACATTATTATTACAACTATTATTCTCGTTTTTATGCCACAGTTCGATCGATGTTCAAACTCGTTTAAGTATTTCAATTTCCAGTTATAACTTACAAGTATACAACATAATAATGTGACCATAGAATCCAATAAAAACAAAATTTTGAAATAAAAATAAAATGTTAAGAAAAAAATGTTAGCGTAAATATTAATATAAACTTGTTTTAAAATAAAACCAAAGGTTGTGATACCAGAGTTAAAATAAAAATTCAAAAAAATAAAATAAAGGAAAAAACTGTTTTTTATTGTGTTAAGTAACTTCTTACTGTCGTAAATAATTAATAAAGAAAAAGATCTACATTTACTAATTTGGCACTTAGTGACCTATTTTTCAAATGCAAAAAGTTTAGTATGAAATAATTAAATATTTAATCAGAGATACACTTGTTTCAACTTTCCTCTTTTGTAACGTAAAGTGGTTAAACAGCACAATATTATATATTTAATCTATAACCCTACCTACAAACAATGTAAATTTATAAAAATAAAAAACATTCTTTTATAAGCTTTTATAAGTCAAATCTTAAATAAAATGTCTTAAATAAATTACATTTACGATTACAATATATGTATATTATATCTATTTATATTTATATCAAATCATATGCCTACTTTTAGTCAGTATTATTAACTTAAACAAAATAAATTTCATAACCGCCAACATTTTTATATATTGACACTATATTTTTCACTCACAAATTGTTTAATAAATAGATTTATACAATAGATATTTAAAACTACTGTACATATGGTTAAAACAATTATTAAAATAATCAAATATATATCTATATGTATACATCACACTAAAAGTTGTAGTATGATAGAAAAAAAATAGAAAAATTAATTTATCGATCAATATAAATAAATAAAATATCTACTAATTATAATATTACCAACATAAATCCTTTTATTAAATTAAAATAAAATATATCTTATTTTTAGATTTTGTTTAACAAATTTTAACAATTAAATTCAACTTATTTTTTTTTTATTACTTAATACAAAGTCATTTCAAACTCAAACTTCGTGCAGTTAATATAATTGTAATCGAATATGAATGACGAATAAAGAATATTATCTTTTTGTATTAACTGGAGTTAAATCCAGTTTAAATAATTTTTAACAAATCAAATAATTACTATAATTTTTAATAATTCTTAGGGAAATGCAATAAAATGTTATTATCTTGTGTCTATTGCCTGTCGTCTGTCCATCTCATAATATTATCAATGTAAATATAATTAACAAAATTATAAATTAATGTCTTTCGAATTTTTAAAACTATGAATCTACAAGTTAAAATAATTAATCTAAACATGTATACTATTATTATAAATATTAATATATAAGTGCGTGTGTATATGGACTATTATATATTATGTTTACCTAAAAAATATTTAAATTAAGAATTCTCATTTCGCGTAATTTTCTATTTTTTAAAGTTTAAATTAATAATTATTAAATAATTTAATAATAACAAACGCGGAGAACAAATAATGTAACTATAACTTTTATGGAAAGTCAATTTTTCTTTGTTTTTAAATAATTAAAGAGAAATATTTACTTTTTTCTAATTTAAATTAGTAAATGTTTTAAATTTAGCATGTTAATATATATCCAATTCAAAATGTTGATAAATATCTCCTATAACAAATTAGACTATACTACGTGTGAAAATGTGTTCACTAGTTTTGTTTTATGTAAATATAATAATATGATAATATTATCTTATAAATTCAATGTACATTAATATATATTATTCTTGTACAATATGTCTTGTAAAATTTTAAAATAAAAATATTGCTATTGAAACTCACAACTTTTGAGCTTTAGTGAGATAGAGTGAAAAAGAGTAGGTATCACAAGTAAAAGTAAAGTAATACGTAACAACAGAGGGTGATAATTAGCTACATCTACGTATTGCCTCTAAATAGACTGTATTATTTTAGGTCTATAGAAGAACTTCGAAACATATAGATATTTTATAAACAACTTAATCAAATAATAATGTGAATATAAGGTTTTTCGTGAAACATACTTTAAATAAGTAATAAATAAATCGTCTGAAATTTTCGTATTATAATGTATTCATTTAAAAGGTACTTGTACAATATTATACAGGTGTGTTTATCATCATATTATATTATTGTATAATTTGTATATTTGAAAAGTGGTAGTAATTTAATGCACTTAATAACTATATTTTTAGTTTAGTATTTTATCTCCATATTGGTTTTGGTAGTGTATGTTTTGTGTGCTTATAATATATCTCTATTATTCCTAGACTGAATTTGTGTTGGGTTAGGATGTTAGTTAATAAGTATTTAGTATTTACTGTTAAGGGAAAAGCGTTTTGGTTTACTGTGCGCTCATTCCATATTACATAATCGTTTGTCTATATGTGTTTTCGTATAATATAGGTAGGTGCTATATATTTTATATCATTGGCGTGGGTGAGGGTCCTATTTAAGGAAAACCAGGGAAATGAAAAGTAAATTTTGTTCGTACAGATTTTTTTTCGTTAACTAAAATTTTCTGAGACAGAATTACACCAATAAGAGGATGTAAGTGGGTTAATGTGTTCCTGCATCTACCTTCAGATTAAATAAAGTATTTAATGGATTTTCATCGTGAGACACGATACATAAATATTGCCCTTTCATCTGCCGAATCTGCTTGAATAATCTTATCATTGATGGGTTGATCTACACATCTGCTTTAGGTACCATAATATATAACACAAGCTTAAATTGATTGAGTATAATGTGAAGATGTGAAGACCTTGTTACAGCGACAACATTAGTATAAATTATGTATACAACCGTAGTATCAATTAAAATCGAGCATGTAAATATTTTGTTAATAATTACATCATTTACGAAACGAATACTAATTGAAACTTAACTTTACGTTTAGTTGTAACTAAACATACGGATAACTTAACATACGATTATCAAAATATATTATAACAATATAACACATCGGATGACAAAATTATTTTATCATGGGAAAGTCTAAGTACAAAATATTTCTAACATACAATAAAACCCTATCTTTATGCGAGTAAATATATAATTCATATATAATAAAAGGGGCGCGTGTAAGCTCCGCCAAGAAAAATAAACAGGTAAAATTGGGTACATGTAAACTCCACCAGTGAAGAAAATTAAGTAAGTAGCAGTATAGAATTAAATTAATAAGTATAAAATTATTAAAAAAAAAAATTAATTATTTTCATAATAATAATTAATAATCGTTTACATTAAATAACAATTTGACAGTTATGCCATAAAATATATCAAAAATATGAAAAAAATTGTACTTATAGTTTTTAAATAACACCAATACATTGCTTCTTTGGCCAGTAATTAATTTTATTTCAGAACTTTGTTGCGACATAATGCGTTCGGATATATTTCGTTTACGAGCGGAAGAACACTATAAATGATTATATTCGTCAAAGTATAGGTTAAATAACTTCTATTGATAACATCATTAGGAATGTTTTCTTATATTATAAAATTAAAATTAGTTTTAAATATTTATAAATTAATCGATCTAACCTTGACAATTTCATCAATTTCGACGTATGTCATCGCAATGGATATCAACGTATTTAACGCAAGTGTCAAGTAATAAAATAAAACTAAAGGATTTTCCATATATTATACTCATCACATGTAAGAAAATTAAACTGGTGAAGTTTACAATAGACCTTTTCATTACCTTTTTATCTAACCGATATTCTGGCGGAGTTTACAATTTCCTAATCAAAGAAATATAGTTAAACAAATTTACAATATTTATCATATAATAGTAGCTATTTAGAAATAAATCTGGTTTGCAACTTAATTGATGTAACGTTATTTTATCATATTACCTATATTATAAAATATTGTATACTGCTAATATGATTAGAATATATCCTTAAACTTTATATTTAATTATACAATAGTTATCCTAACACACCACCTCGTGTTATCTAATTGTACGATTTAAACCTGTTTATAGTTTTTAAGTAAATGTTGTCTAATACGCGACCGTCCTGTAGAAATATGTATTTAGTAATATAATTAAATATTATCTTACATAATACACATATAATACAACATATTACTAATGTTATTAATTGTACTTTGTATATAATTTTCCATATGAATACTTATCTATTTAATTTATTACTTATGTTAAGCTTTCACTTGATTAAGGTTTTTTTTTTTTATGTACTTAGGTCTTAGGTGCCTATTAAAAATTACCAAATAATTAGTAATTCGTGGATGTTAAGTTATTATATGTGTTAAAAAACTTATTGGACCAAAGCAATATGTAATAAAATAATTAATGTAATGAAAGTTTTAAACTTTTAACATAATTAATTTTCAAAAATAAATAATCGAAAAAATCTAAAAATATGTACAAATTATCGTAAAAATATAATATTTAAAAATGTATGGGTAATATTTACATGTAAATTTTATTATAATCTAATTACACATTTAATACTTCGACAACTCATCACACAAAAACTGAAATATAACTTCCCAATCTTGTTTATACATAATTGTATCATTGTAATAGTAAAATAAAATGTGTATCATCATGCATTGATAGTATGCAATATACGTTACGATTTACGGCTATAAATATATTTATTTTATACATGTATTATAATTAAAGATTTACATTTCGAAATTAATTAGTAATATACCTGTTAAGTTACAAGTTTATAACCATTAGCATATTTATGTGTTTGTTATTTGTATCACATTAATGGTTGTTATTAAATTTAATTAATATTCAAAAATATATAAAACTCATGATGAGATACCTACTGGTGTTTAAAAATATATTTTAAAGTCAAACAACTTTATTATGCAGAACGTTATAAAAGATATATAATCAGTTCGCTGCTAAGTGAAATTAAACTGGTACATGTGTACCTTTTAATGAAAAATATAAATTGTGTATTATATGGGGTTATCACAAAATATGTAAATTACAAAAACGTGGACACATTAAATTGTAATATTATGATTTTGGAAGTTTTTTTTTTGTCTTTCATCGCCTTTTGGGGCAATAAAAATGCTTCAATTTCTAAATGGGAGTGGTTTTTAATGCAAAGTGAATCTATTTAGCGCTTTGTTGGTAGGATGATCGATACTTGTAATTTTCGCCAAATATTTTTATTATCACTTTCTATTTACGATAAAATTATTTCAATCCTTTTTAAGTTATTTATAGACATGAAAAATTTTTTTTTTATGAATGTTGATGGAAAATTATTCACTAGGTTAAAATTCTTGAAAATTTAACACAAGATCTTCGACAAGTTGTTTTTGTGTGTACAAAAATATTAAAAATGCATAGGCACATTTTTTTTTATGTTATACATTTGGAGTTCGAATTTTGATAAAACAACAAGAAATACAAACCATTTTATAGTTAAAAATTCATAAAATCTTTTCTTTTATATATAAGTTTTGAAAATTGAATACAAGATTTCTCTGAGTACAAATTTACTTATTTAAATGATAAATAATAATGTTCATTATTTTATAATAATTACTTTACCGTATATTATTTTATTATGAGTTTTACTACACGCAATGACATTTTTGATTTATTTTAAAATATTATCTATTAATATTATATATGAATATGGTTTTACTGTTTTATAGTATTTATAGATTAATGTTGATAAATTTTGAATTATTTAGGTTGAATGTTGATATAATATGTTAAGAATATATAATAATTTAATAATATAATAAATGCAATATTTTCAGAAAAAATTATATTAACTCACCATAGTATTAAAAGTAAAATCACGACTGTAATAGCATGTACGTATATCATAAAAACGTATCATAAAATAAGGTTTGTGTCATAGACTGACAGATCGTCTCTATTCAGAAATGTTTTTCGTATACAATGATAGATCATTGAATTCTAATTAAATACGCCTATAATAGTATCCCATCAATACCTATAATGCACAGCAGAACAGTACCCAATTGTCTACCTTTTTATGATATAAATTTAACCTGACCGTCTATTTACATCTAAGAATTCATACCAAACAATAAACAAGAGAAGTAATAATAAATATACAGTTCAAACCATAAAAAACAAACAAATACATGAATTTACTAAAAGTAATATCAAATTACATTTTATATACCTCCTAAGCTAATGTATAAAATATGTATTTACGTTTAAAATCATAAAATAAGTAGATTTATTAACATTGTTTTCGATTTAAAAATGTTTGACAAACATATGATTGTGTATACAATTTCTAACACGTAATATTCAAATGACATTTTATGTTTGCGTTCTAATTTTCGTTATTTTCCTCGAATAAATTTCATTAAACGTAAAATATTACTTTTGAAACGAATTTCTTAAGTCGGTGGATAAGTAGAAAATAATATTTATATTGTAGATGTATTTTTCTCTAGCATTCTCAAAAACGTGTAATGATAGCCACTGTATTAGTAAAATTATTATTCAGTATGAAAGGCTGATCATTAGTTACGTTTTTATTTCAGTTGAGTATTAAAATAAAATTTAAATGTTGATGAAAAAAGTAATTTTGCTAAATTATTTGTCAAAAGTTTATTTTTTTTTTCATCTATTATATTTTAACTCTGTCAAAAGTAAATTAAAGAAGATTATATTTTTTATTAAATACAAATTATGATTGGAGGTAGTAATTTTCAATATTTGTCCAATACAGGTGCATCATATGAATTTAAAAGTATTCTATTTCAATTGTGAATAATATAATATATTTTTAGATCGATCTAGTGAATTTGTCTTCAAGTTTATCTAAGATTAACTTTCCCAAATTTTTTTCTTCAAAAAAAAATTGAATTGTGGCAATTTTTTAAATTCTACTGTTTTAGTATAAAATTTTTAGAGTTTAGGCCAAGGAGTTGCGAAATTTTTTTTTACATTTTAACAAAACCTAGAATGGTATGATTTGACATAATTATAATATAAAATCCTATACTTAATATGTGGAGTTAAAGATATATTCTTCAATATTTATGTACAGACTGTAAGAGTGGAGTAGACTAATCTATGTATATTGTATTTTGTATATTATCTTGAAAAATATAATCAAAACCTAAAAATATAACTAAAACGGTGTTACAGTGCTAGATATAAATAAAAGTAATATTTTTTTAGTCTAACTTGAAGTGGCTACTACTTGTTGCTCATATACAAAACAATTAAGTCAATTACTGCAAAAAAACCACAACATTCAACAAAAGCTTTAAAATTTAAATTATAAAATAATTGTTATAAAAAAAAAACCGTCCGTTTATATACTGAAGTAATTTAAAGAAATAATGGATAATATTATCAAATTGACTTCTGAAATAAAATTTAAAAAACATCGTGTCTCTAATATATGAAAGAAAAACTACACAAAATGATATTTTAATTCCAAATACCAAAAAGATAATTATAAAACAATAATGCTCATACAATCGCTTAATAATCGAATTATTCAATTACGTTTAGGTTTTGATAAATGACTAGAAACAATTATATCGCTAGGAGGATTTTTCGAGGAAGGATTAATTTAACACATTTTGACGACAAACCAATTTCAACTGTTGCTTTTGTTTATGAGAACGACTTTTTAATTAGTATAAATTTATGTTTGTAAACAGGGTTATTCATGTAGAGGGAGCAATGGGAATTAAAATAAAATCTTTACAGAATACTGCTATGGAAGCAATTTAACATTTCACTGAGCTTTTTTACAAATACTTATAAAGAAGATTCTCTAACTATTTGCTAATCTTTCTGTAATTCCACCACTCTAGAACGTACATTTTCTGTTCTAAAAAGACTAAAAATATATCAAAGAAGTGCTACGAATAAAGAAATGTTGTATAATTCGAGCTAATAACAATAAATTAAAAAACATAATTTAGAATAAGACTACACAAAAAATAAATATTGACCGCTTTTACGAAAAAAAATCTCATAGAAAATTAAATTTCTTAGATTGATCTTAATAATAATTTAATATTAAAATTAGATACATCATTAAATTTTAAGTTGTTTGTAATAAATGTATAAGATATAAATAAGAATATTAAAATAAATATTTATTAATATAAATATATATTTCACCGATGTCATGATATGATAAAAATATTAACGAGAAAAAAATACTTAAATCATTGGGTATGTCTTTAATATGACCATAGTCAATATACACTTTGATATGGTTTAAATAAGTTAGAATTCTTTTCCGACATGCCACTTACCGATACAATGTACACTTGCCTCGTTTCTCCTTATTTTTTGTTTTTCCTGTTATTTTTGTAAATTATTTGGAATTTTTACTCTTGAAGTTTTGATTGTTTCAATAAAGATCCAATTACAACAAATTTGTTAGGTACTAGAAACCATCCCACCTCTAAAAATCGAAGCATTTTTATTGCCCAAAAATGTGATGATTAACATTCAGTTTAAAACAAAAAATATGATATAAAGGTATATTGTATATAAAACTAATTTTAACCAAATTGTCATTTTTTATTCTACAAAAAGAATATGAATGAGAATTTTTTATATAACTGGGACTGGTTTTTTAATTACTTAGCCTATAGTAAATATTATGATTAGTGCATTTGACAGATTATGAAATATTAAGTTCATCATACATCGTGGTTCAAATACCTGGTCTTGGGTCGGAGTTGTGCACAGTGTTTTGTACGCCGCGTGTTGTTCCATCACCAGTTTAATAGCTCTTAATTTAAAACAATGTAGAATTAATAGTTTTCTAAAACGTAAGCTCACCGACATTTTATGACGCGGATCACATGCATTGTGTATAGCTATTCCAATATAAAACAATGAACTTTAAATTCGACAGAAAACGCCGCGGAATGGCAAAGCTTAAAGATAAAATCTATTATCTGTAAACCTTTGGTGGAATCACACACGTTTATATAATATATATCTGTGAGTGAGATAATCCAGACTATTTTTTTTTTTTTATAGGAATACTGGTGATATCAGGTGTATTAAATTGATAACATTGATAACAATTATTATTACTTCTTCTATACTAAAAAAATAGTTTTATATTAATTTTAATACATAAATTTAAATGCTTCTATACTCAATATTAATTATTGGAGAGTTATAAGAATAAAATTATGAAAAAAAGAGTCGTAATAACTGGTATGGGTGTCATTTGTCCATCTGGTGTCAATAAATATACGTCATGGAAAAATATTTTGTCGGGAAAATCGTTTGTAAGGAAATTGGACAATGACCTTTACAAAAACGTTCCTTCCAAAATCGCTGCGACTCTGGACGGACTGAAGGATCTACCAGAACTAGTACCCAAAAGCAAAGTACGTACAATGGCTCCTTCGACTCGTCTAGCTCTAATTGCTGCTAAAGAAGCAGTCGATGATTCAAAAATATTTTTGTCTCCAGTTGATAAAGAGAATATAGGGGTGAGTGTGGGAGTGGGAATGGTGGATTTAGAAGATGTGTGTCAAACAGCCAAAGCTTTGGAAATTAGTTACAGTAAAGTTAGTCCATACTTCGTGCCACGCATTCTACTCAATATGGCTGCTGGCCAAATAAGCATGACTTATGGTCTACAAGGACCCAATCATGCTGTGTCTACTGCTTGTGCAACAGGAGCCCATGCAATTGGTGATGGTTTCCGTTTTATTCAGTATGGACAAGCAAAAGCAATGATTTGTGGTGCTGCTGAATCATGTATAAGTCCATTATCAATCGCTTCTTTTTGTAGAATACGAGCACTATCTACTCAAAATGATACACCAGAATTGGCATCAAGACCGTTTGATGTAAATCGAGATGGTTTCGTTATTGGTGAAGGGTCTGCTATGATTATACTAGAAGAATTAGAACATGCTATTAATAGAAATGCTCATATTTATGGAGAAGTTCTAGGTTATGGCCTATCTGGTGATGCTTCACACTTAACAGCACCGCCAGAAAATGGCCAAGGAGCTTTACTAGCTATGACTAGAGCCATTCTAGACGCCAAGGTAGACAAGAAACAAATTACATATGTAAATGCACATGCCACTTCAACTCCAATAGGAGATGCAATTGAATTAACAGCAATTAAAAGACTTTTTGATGAGCACTGCATTAATGTACATGTTTCATCTACAAAAGGTAGTCATGGCCATTTACTAGGATCTGCAGGTAATTTAGAAAGTGTTTTTACAATTCTTGCTTGTTATGAAGGTGTCATTCCACCTACTGCAAATCTAAACAATATTTGCAAAGAAGCTGAAAATTTAATTTGTGTTACTAAAAGTCCAATAGAATGGAAACAAGAAAAAAGAATAGCAATAAAAAATGCATTTGGTTTTGGAGGTACAAATGCAAGCATATGTTTTTCCAATTTTATTTTATAATTGTTTAACTATATGGATCACAAAATGCTAAAGCTGTCAGTGCTTTTTGATGTCCTTCATATTCACGTTCTATATTGCCACTTTCTACGTTCCATAATCTTGCCATGGCATCTGATGAAACTAAAAATAAGAAAAAAAAATTATGAAGTATAATATCTATGTAATTTTACAAAATTAAGCAATGCCAAATAATATAGGAAAAAAATTATACATTTCTATTTGTAAATAAATTATAAAACTTATTATTTAACTATAATGAAATATATCCTAGTAGTCAAATTGATACTTTACTAATGATTTGAATTAAAGCAGTAACCTAATCAACTGTTAAATGTGTATTCTTACAAAGAATTGAATAAAAGTTATCATATTAAATTAATGTAAATAACTTTGTTGATTATTGTCAGTGAGATCACAAAAAAATTAAATTTATAGATTTATAAATCTAAGATTAAGTTGCAAAGTAATAATTTTTTCTTAGTAAACACTAAACAAGCATATATTTTTATTGTGAAAATAATAAAATAAAATCTTTAATTATTGAATTAATTTATACTAGGAAAAAAATCAACTTATTAGTTGAATACCAAAATATAATTCAACATAATATTGCCCATTAACTTTAAGAGTGTTCATCAGTGATAACCAATTTTTAACAGGTTAGCTCTTTGATCTATGGTAATAAAACCACCCACCACTACCCCCAAACAACTGTTGCAAATAGTATTCTTAAAATGAGTGAACCATAGCTCTTATTAGTTATAATAATTATTCACAATAATACCTGTTAATAAATGTTCCGAATCATTACTAAATGCTGTATTCCATACCCATCTTTGTTTTTCATCTTTTAGTTCTTGTTTCAAAGAAAAATCACTTGTTTTCCAAATTAAAGCTGTTTGATCAGCCGAAGATGTTACCAACAATCTATTAAATTTGAAAATATTAATCAAAGATTAATATAATTACAAGTCAAAACTATTTTCATTCTTACGTCGAATCAGGGCTGAATTTACAATGAAGAGCATACTTCCTATGAGCATTAATTTTGTGCTCAGGACTTAGTTTAGTACCATTTCCATTATATCTCCATAGGTAACAATTTCCTTTATTATTTACAGAAGCAACATAATTTGCACTAGAATCAATAGCCACACATTGTATAGAAGCATCAACTTCAGGTATCTAAACTTATGGAAAATTAAAACTGAAGAACTGCATTAATTTAATATACTAATATACTTACCAGTTGTTCGTTGTGATCAGTTTTCAAATCCCATATATGAAGCAAGCCAGACTGATCACCTAATATTAACTCAGCTTGATTAGGATGAAGGCATATACTAGTAATTGGTGCAGTTGTTTGAAATATACGCTGACATTGCAAATTTCTAGACCTGCAAAAAAATTATTAAAACTTACTGCAATCTTGTTTAATTTAAAAATTTATTTTATACCTTAAATCCCAGACACGAGCACTACAATCTTCACCACAAGTAAACATCCATTTACCATCTTCGTGGAATCCAACACCAGTAATATTTTTTGAAATCCCTTCATAATTTAAAATTGGATTTGGATTGCTTGAATTTAAGTCATACATACGAATATGTTGAAACCCTATGTGTTAAAAGATCATAATTAAATAGGTAAGTATGAAATTTAATTAGTGAAAAGATTACCTGCAGCAGCCAAGTGTTGTCTGTCTGGCGTTATTTCTAATGCATTTACTTGCTAAATTAATTGGTTAAGAATTCTATTCACATAAATAATTTAAAAAAAAAAAACTAAAAACAACCATAGTACATATACCTAATAATTTTTCATTAAGTATACTTAAGTTTACATGAATTATAATTTAAAAAGATTAAATTAATAATATGAAATACTAATCAAGCACACAATATTTGCTTTCAAAAACATGATAAAATTTTAAAAAAAAATGTACAAGTTTATTCAAATTATTTTGAGATTCACTTAACTTTTATATTAACAAAATAATTGAATAGATTTAAAGCAAGATTAAATGTTTATGATTATGTCTTAAAGGATACAGAATCTAAATGTGTTAAACTTCTATTACAAACTCCAGTGTTTGCATGCCATAACTTAATTGTGTGGTCATATCCTCCAGTAGCCAACAGTACCTTTTCAGTTAATGCGTTATCTACCATTATTTTAAATCAACACATTGAAAGAGAAGATCTGAATAAATAATTCGAAACTTATTTTTTTGTCAACAAAACTAATAAATTAAAAACTAATTTAATATTTTACTGTTTAAATAAATGTTTAATGCTACAACAATATAAAATATTGATCGTATATAATAACTACGAGTAATTATGTATTATGAAAATGAAATTGAAGTTTAAGAACTATAAAAAATTATTCAAATAACAAATATGAATGTATTTTTATTTTTTATTATAAATAATATAGTTATTATAGTACATATTTTTATTATCTTCGTTCATTATGATCATGTCTTGTATTTTAATATTATTATCAATTTAACAGTTTGTCAATTTACACGGTAGAACATCTGCGCGTCAGGACGAAACAACAATACAACACTGAAGAATTTCTATCTCTCTCTCACTCATTGAGGTGCCGTAGATTGATAAGCGAAGAACAAGACCAAGGTTTATAGATATTATCTATAAATCTTGAAACAAGACTACCATAATATGATGATTATAATATTACATTTTAGTTACTGTTTTTTAGTTACTGAGTGAATAAACCATTAATATCGCCTTATAGTTTTATACTTCATTGCTTTTATAGTTTACTTGAAGTTTGATCGAGTGGCAAGTGCCGTCTGTGTATGTCCGAGTGGTAAATCTACGGTTTACACGAGTCAAACATTTTCTTGAATAACACAAAATCTAATGAAGAATTAATTGAATTAAAATGGCTAATAAAGGTAAATCAGAAATATAAATTAATTTTACATATCTTTTTATAAGTGAATAATGATTTATAGGTGATTGATGCTACTTTATGAAAGATGGTATTGACAATATCGCGTAATTAGTTAATAAAAATATTCCTAGATAAAATTTTGATATAAATTACATTTAAATAAATTTAAATTGTTACTCATAGTATAAATATTAGTTGAATTAATATGTACCTATTTTAGTCATTAATTTTTAATATTGCTAATTAATGAATTTAATTTCTAGAATACTGTTCAGAAATTACTGTTGTTATCTATTTTATTAAATTTATTTTTCTGTTACAGGTGGTCCTGAAACTGAAGAACAAACCAGATTAAGATTTCAAGTAGAACTTGAATTTGTTCAATGTTTAGCTAATCCAAATTATTTAAACTGTAAGTTTTTAATAATTATTATATTTAGAAACAATTTGGAAAATGTATTTTTAATTTGTATACTATAGTTTTAGCTCAACGTGGATATTTCAAGGATCAATCTTTTATTAATTATTTAAAATATTTATTGTATTGGAAAGAACCAGATTATGCAAAGTTTATTAAGTAAGTTATAATAATACTTAAACATTATACCTCTAAATAGATTACTGATTTATTTTATATCTCTATAAATAATTAATTTGTTTGTATTATATAAGATGTATATTTATTAGTTATAACATAAGGGTTGTCGCATACCTAATATATTCTGTGATTAAATAAACCCTGCATAAATATAACAACATATTGGTAAATGAATTTCTTTAAGTTTTGTTCTATATTTTGTTATTACATTATAATTTATAAGTATACCTAAAATTGATTTATTAATAAGTACTGCATACTCATTTAAATATTTTACTTACACGAATTTTAAGTTTTTAAAATAATTAAAATATTAGGTATGTATTTTACCATATTTAAGTTCAATAGTAAATATATTACAAAGTATTACTGAAAAAATTGACAAATAAAAATGAAAAACTATTACTAATTGAACGTAATATGGAGAAAATTATATTGAAACAAATAATTTAAGATTTAATTGTATTTCAAAAATATCGTTTTAAAAAAAATGATTACATTTAAAATTAAACTTTTCTAAAAAAACATTTATACAGTCAACTCACGATATAACGAAAATCTCAATATAACGAATAAAACTACCAGTCCCTTGAAAATATTGCGGTATAACGAACAAATGTAATGTATTTTGGTCCCCTCGGTGTAGCGAAGCATTTTTGATCAAAATCCTCGCGATGTAACAAATTTTTATAAACTTGGAGCTTTTTATTACAAATTTTGAATTTTAGTTAAGATAAGATACATGTCTCTAGTGTATAACTCTATGAAAAATATATAAAAATAAGTATGTTGCTATTACCACATAATAGATTACGAAGTTTTTCTGATGATTATCACGCGATAGTACACTCAAGTACAGTATCGCAATTAAAATAAGACTTATGTCGATTAATGGCTCTACGCAAAATGTACGTAACATACTATGTAACCTATCGGTACCGTTTTACTGTATACATATGTATACGAATAATAAAATTTTGAATTTTTGTTTTAAATCTTGTTATAACGAATTCAATTAGTATATTCTCTTGATTTAACAAATTTCGATGTAACAAACTTTCGATATAACAAATTTTTTTCTCGGTCCCTTGAAATTCGTTATATCATGAGTTGACTGTATTTTAAAAAACTATTTAAAATAAACTACTTAACTTAAATAAATGTTACTAAAAATTAGATTAACATAAAAGATAATTTTGAATTTTTCCCAAAAATATGTAATCAAATTTTTAAATATGTGTATATCTTTTCTAATTTTAAGAACTTAAAGGCATTGATTTTATAATTTAGGGTATCCCAGTAGAAGTGTACATTTTTAAAACACAATAACTCAGCAAAAATCTATAAATTTCAAGAAAAAAATGTATTGTAGCCATAAACTTTTCCAAATTAATAATAAAAAATTATGTGGAGTTAATGTCCATTTTTACAATCCTTATAGACAATAATCACATGAGACTACCTGCCACACTTCACATGAGTTAATGGCATTGTTGTATATAAAATTCCACGTTAACCTGATACTAAATTGAGGGAATCAGAATTAGTCTCCCAGGTCATATTGTGACCTCACCCCATATGACTTTTTTAATGGAGATATGTGAAGTTACAAGTTTATGCAAACAATCCTCAAGACATTCATCAATTGAAGGAAGAAATCGGGCGGATAATTGGCAAAGAAATAAGCGCAAAAGTGATCACCAATTTCAATGATTCTATTATTGCCTGTAGGAACTGTGGAAGTGGACATTTACTCAATATATTTTTCATCATTAAACCAAAAATGTTGAAAATGAGTTACTGCGCTTTCAAAATCTGCACTTCTGCTGGGACACCCTATATTATAGTAAATTTTATTTATTTGTGTTAGTAATTAAATCATTAAACAATTTAAAAATTGATTTAAAAAAAAATTAAATGTATTAACATTTATTAACTATAATACTTGGTATAAAATATATTATGATGATGTAAAATAATTATCTGTGTCATTTATTAAATTACTTGAGTGTACTCATAAAGATTTTTTATTTTTTACAGGTATCCCATGTGTTTATATTTTTTAGATCTCTTACAACATGAACCTTTTAGAAAAGAAATAGCCACTGCTATTTGTTCGAAATTTATTGATGATCAATTGTTATTGATTTGGCAACATTACACTAGACGGAGAACAAAATTGATTCATACTGCTTATGAACACAACATGAATATGATGAATAAATCTGGTGCATCAAACATTGGACAAGCACAAACTAATGGCACAAATGGAATCATGCCAACTTCAATGCCCATTCCTAAAGTTATGCCTCCTTAATTTATTATTATAATTTAAGATTATTATAACTTATAATATTATGTTGTATCTTTCCACAGATTCAATTTTCATTAAATTTATATGTTAATAATACTGTGAAAATGTAATTTTAAATTGTTTATCTAAAAATAACTTTAAGTATTGTATATTAACTATTTGCTATAATATATTTTCACATTAACTAAATTGTTAAAAAAAAAAAAAAAAAAAGACTTGAAAACACATAGTTGTGCACTTGATTGTATTTTAGAAATAAAAAATAAATTATGTTTGATAACCAAAATAAAAAACATAATTTATTAAATTAAATTATATTTTAATTGAAATTATAATAAAAGTTTTTCTTATAAAGTAAAATTGCTATTATGGTTTATTATTTTATATTTTACATTTTACATGAGCAATGAAATACATTCTAAGAGATACTAAAACGTTATATTTTTTGGGTAATGTACACAAAAGCCATAGTTCAAGTGTAAAACTATAAATATCAAGTTGATATATAAAAATGAATATTGTATATACAATATGAACATAATACTGTTTAATGTTTCTCTTCTCAGGATTACTTGTTATAAAATTTGCGTCAACTTCTTCAGTTATATAAACTATTCATATTGTAACAAAACAAGTTGTTATCATAACATTTCGACAAAATGTATAAAAATAATATATCAAGAAAATGTTTGATCAACAAAATATTTTATTTTTAAATTTATATGATGTCTGTTATCACTTTTTTGAAACTTAAAAATGGTTGGATCTTAACCTCAAGAGTGGCTTAAGCAGTAAAATTAGATTTAAATAGTTTGTATTTTGAAGAGTTAAATTTAAAAATTCCCAGTGCAAAAAACTATTTTAGAGAAATAGTTATTGTTTTTTGTTTTAATCTAAAAAAAAATATTTCTGTATGATTTTCAAATTTAGTTTTTATCAGTTATTTTATATAGATTTTAAGATTTTCTACTTTTATTGTTTTAAATTTATTTATTAAGTAATTCTATTATCAAAACAACATTTATTATTTCAAAATTTATTAACGTTTTAAAAAAAAAATGTTTACATAATTTCTAGCAAAAATAAAACAGCTATTTTTTTTTTAGTATTACTTATCATTATAATTTCATAAGTTTTACTTTTTTGAATGAAAAAGTATTTTGATATACAAAACATTGAAATTCAAACGAGTAGTTAATGATTTAAAAGTACTTAAAGTTTAGGTAAGAGGAGTAGTAGATCAACATTTCGCGGGGTATTCCCGTACCTCTCCACTCTGTTTGACAAAACTTAAAATACTTTAAAAACTATGAGTCATAAACTACTCGTGCGAATTTCAATTTGTTTGTATCGAAATACTCCGGAAAATATTTTGTTTCAGAATATGAAATTAAAAATGCACGTTATCATTAAAAAGTTTTTAATTTCGACTAGAAATGTAAAAAAAAATATTAACAGATTTTGAAATAATGAGTGTTATTTAATAAAAAAACTCTTTATAATTACATTTTTTATTTGCGAATCAAAAAGTTCGAAATCCTAACCTTCGACGATAATATTTTATCGGATTTATGGTAATATGGTATAGTTACAAATCTTCATTATAAAGAGTATTGATCATCATTCCCTTGATTAAGAGTTGTCACATACTCACATGTTATAACTAGAGTATATTTAAAATTTGAGATAAGACGAATGGTAGTGAATTTCCAAACTATTAATATTATGGAAGTAAATAGCCGTATAGGACATATTTTATACAAACTTCAATAAAAGAACATTTGAACATCTCAAATCCTAAATAACCTGTTAACATTTTTTCAAATTTAATTTTTATACTAAACCATAAAATATCCATTGTCAATAAAATTAAGGAATAAATAAACTTCTTTTTTTTTTTTCGTACATTATAATTGCAATTTTTTTAAAAATTATTTTGTTAAGCTATTAATGCATATCAGTACAAGAAAGTCACCATATTTATTAGTTATTACAATATTAAACTTAATTGTACATAAACTTAATAATGAGCTTTAAATAAAAATAAAGTAATTTAATTTGTTTTACGCATGTTTAATATAAATTTAAGATATCCAATATAATTTTATTTATGCTAATATTTTAAAAATTAAATAAATAAGTGGGTATATATAATAATAGTCTTTCAACTTTTAAAATTAATAATATACCGAATTTAAAATAATAATTACCTACCTATATATTTAGGAGTGTAGTAACACTAAAATAAATAAATACAATTTTGTATAAAACATGTATACAAAGTATAATAGCTGAAATTGACAATTGATAGCCTAACTATGTGATAACTTTTTACTCATCATTTTGTTTTATAATTTATGGTTATTGAAAATGATAAAATAGGTATACAAAAAAAAAAAAAAATTAATATTAATAAGAACCAACATTTTTTTCATAAGTAGTTATATTTAATTCTATTTATCAACGATTTCTGTAGTTATACGGCCAGTAACACGCTATACTAATTTCAACAGGATTCTAAATAAAAATAATAAAAAAAATTTTTAATTAATTTTCATTTTTCGAATGACGTCATAATAACTGTATAATAACAAAACGCACCCAAAAATGCCAATATCCAGATAATTCATATGTGTTGTGCAATACGTTTCTTAGACTAGTTTTGACACGGCTACTACAGTATAAACTATTTATAATATAGCTTAAAACGCACAATTATATAATATCTATTATGTTAATATAATATTAAAGCAGTGTTATATAAATTATGAAATGAAGGTAAATTTATTGACCTTGAGTTATCTTTAAAAGAGTTTTAAAGGACGTACCTATTTTATTAATCGGATCCCAAAGGTAAATGAATTGCTATAATATAGTGTTAAATAATTCATAATATATAAATATAATAATATTATCTTATGGATTGCTTTCCAGGGTTATTAAAACAACTATCTGACTTCTGTTCCAATTACGTTTGTAGTTAACTAAAATATATCGGTGTAGATTTGGTATTTTATTATACCTAATCAACATAATAATGCGTGTTAATATATTGAGTATAGGTACCTCAGTCATAAATTATAACTCGTTAAAAAAAACAACCATACTTTTTTTGATTTATGCTACACATATAATAGAAATATTATCCAAACTCGTGATAAACAAATACATATTCATAGGTATGTAAAAACAAAATTAAGGAGGTATACCTATATTTCGAATATGTGTCTATTTGATTTTTATTTATTGTAATAATTTTGTAAGTGAACTTTCTGATATCAAATCATATAGGAACGTTTAAACCCAATGAGATGTTTTGTCTGCGAAGATAACCCCTAACAAGTCACAAAACTGACAAACTGACACCATCAGTAAAAATACTTTGCAATTTAATATTTTTGCTGCAATTCGAGTTTTAATAGATGAGTTGACACTTCACGAGGTACACCTCTAAATTATCGTATCCAAGCTAGAGGACGTTGCACTTACAAAATATTGGCACTGATTTAGAATGGTCACACTAACTAAAAGAAGAAAACTTCACAGATGTTAAGATAATAAGTATCAACGTTTACTCAGTTCATAAGAGCTTTAATTATTATTAATTTAATGGATAATTATTTTATCGAACAACACTTTAATGACAATGTACATAATTAATTTTATACTCAGAAGAATATTTTTCGGAGTAATTCGGTACATAAAAATAGAAATTCCAACCAGTAGCTTATAAGTTATTAGTATTTAAAGTTTAGGTGAACGAAGTGGAGAGGTGAAATGTTGAAATCTTGTTCTACTGCTCCGTTTATTTAAACTTTAAATGTTTATAACTAGTAAGCTATTAGTTAGAATTTCGATTTTTATGTACCAAAATATTCCCAAAAATATTCTATTTTAGAATATGAAATTATAAATGTATAATGTCATTAAAAAAAGTGAAAAACTTGAACAATTATAGTGATAGTTTTGGTACATTTAAAGGTAATAAAAATAATACACTGTTAGCTTAAAAGTTATTTATCATAATAAATGTTTAAGTATTTAAAGTTTGGGTTAGCGGAGTAGTAGATCAATATTTTGCAAGGTATCTCCGTATCACTCCATTCCGCTTGTCGAAACTTTAAAAACTTTTAAAGTTATAACTTATAAACTACTTGTCTACATTATATACATCAAACTTTAATCAATAAACTGTCGCTGAAAATTCGATTTTTATATAGGTTCCTATAAAAACTTTAAGAAAGATGTCTCTTTTGTTTCTAAATTTTAAATGACAATTCTATAAATTTATTATTTTTATTAATTTAGAAATTTATTTTATCATTAAAGAAAGATACTATATAGCAATTTTCTATAATCAAAAATTGAGTCAAATATGTAACATAAAAATTAAAAGAGTGAAAATAGACAATCATTTTTTTATAAACTGTAGGTTTGTAATAAATTACTTTAAATAATTTTTAATAAAAATATTTCCAAAAACGTTAAGAATTTTTAACACAATAATTGATGGTTACCAAACCAATAATAATAGGTTATTCTTTTGACTAAATTACACTGTGAAATTAATTATGTACCTATAATGTCGTTTAAAAATTTAAATAATAATTAAATTTATAATTTTTGAAAAAATAACATTTTTAATGAATTATTTGAATTGTATATAATAATTATTTTCAATAACACATTAATACTTTTCTAGATATTATAATGAATGTGTTACGGTTAAGAATTGCCATAAAATGTATAATACATTATTTGAATTATGATGAGATATGGCTTTATTCTTTGTAGTTGAATTAAATTTTAAATCAATTCCCAAAGCAAAAACTAAAATTTAACTTGTCTTATTGTATATATAGGTACTAAATTTATTACAAAGGTCTAGTAGATTGTTTATACTTTGTACTATACTGCGGCTATCCTAAAAATATAAATATATTGTATAACTAAACAAAATAATATTTCCTTACTCAATTTTTTCTATTGAATCGTCATCTATAATTAACTACCGAGTCAAGTTTATAAAGTGATAAAATAGGATAATTTGTTGAACATAGAAGCGTATAACAATCAGTTACAAATATCGGAAAAATTAAATTCTTGCCATATCTTTACTATACATATTAAACTATTTACTTATAATAGAAGTAATATAACACGGAATCGTATAGTCTACACAACACAAAAATTGTTTCGATAGAAACATAATAGACATGATAAATAATACAATAATTAAATTCACTTTCGTTATTCGATGTTCATTTAGACTAAAAGTGGAATATAACATGTAGACTCGAGGCCACTGAGTAAATATAATATGCTAAACCAAAAAAATAAAATGCTAATTCGTCAGAACTAACGAAATAATCGAAACATTGTTCCAATTACTCGCTTGATAAAATATTTATTGTCAAATCGAAGACAATCAAACTTAATAACGTGTACCTCTTTTTTTCTCGTATGTTACATCGATGTAATAAATTCACCAATATAGTTACGTCTATATTATTATTTTGTTTAAATATTTACACAGTTAATATTTTTATTGTTGAAAACTCCACACATAAACACATACACGTACAATATGACATTTTTGAGAAATAGTTACAAAAATTTACTATTCATGAAATCTAAATTAGAACCTTGTAAATGGTTAAAAAGATGAAGTATTGACGTGTTTATACATGTACACAATATACATTTTTCCCAATCAAAATGTATTATAAGTAAATTCTATTAATATTTCAAACTTAACATATGAATTTGCGGGTTGTGTCATTTTGTTTGATCACTTTGGCTTTAATATTCCCATGATAAACGACCTAAGTTTCAGCCGCATGACTATAATATCATATACCTAATATTCTAATTGAAACTTATACATTCGATTTTTTTTCATGACTAAATCGTTCAATTCACATCTTTTTTTTAAAAATGTCGATCTCGAACAAGGATTTCTACGAAGATATAAGATCAACATTGATGCTATACAAAATTATGGGGCTAACGAGCCTAAAAAATGTATTTTATGGTCGAATAGATTTTCAATGGGGATCTAATCTTATATGGCCTTTGGTATGTATTATATAACACATAACTAATAGGTATAACTTAGCTAATACTATTGTATGTATTATGATTTATAAATTAAAAATATACCTATTAAATAAAAATTATAAAATTATTAGATTTCCTACAACCATCAAAAATATTATACTTATTGAGATTAGATAACAACATTTTGTACTACTTTTTTGTGTTAAATATTTTGATGTTTCATACATTTTAAAGAAATCTTATTAGAGTCTTAACACTAATCATCAATTATTATTATATACCTATTTCCATAATGTAGTTATTTCTACTCCTTTTTTAAACGTACACTTAAAAACTGAATTGTTATTAAGTTGACCTATACAACATACTACCTAAATATGAAAACAGAATAAATTATAGAAATACCTTTTTTCTTCAATTATACCTATTAACTTATTATGAGAAATTAAAATTAATTGATATAAAATATAATTAATTAAAATACTCGCTACTTTTATCAGCTAATTAACTACAATTTAATTTAATTTTATATTATTGTACTGTATAGCATTACGGTATACATATTTGGGACAATGCCGCTCCAAGTATAACATACAAAAAATACAGTTATTCCAGTCTATATGCTTACGCACTTTAACAAATTCTTCCTGGTTTGTTAGTAATAAAACCTTACACTCCGACCTGAAAATTAAACATGTAAACCAAGTTACAACAACTGCCTACCTTAAACTACACAAAAAATTTAACACACATATTGACCCCAATATAAGACACTTTGCTTCACTCCACATCCCCGACAAGCCCCTAAGTAGACTTCAACAAAAATGGATCAGAGACCTTCTCCTAAAAAAAAAAAAATCCCTTTAATAGATAGCTCTATTGGAAACCCTCCTACATCGTGCCTATATCATGCTATGTAAACCACCTATATCATTAATACTTGTAGTGCAAAATTTTGTGTAGTTGTATATTTCTTACAAAATAAAAAAAAAAAAAATTATTTTAAGCTCTATAATATAAAATTTAAGTATCTTCTTAAACATATTTTCTAAATAATAATTTGTAATACTTACCTAATTATTTTAATCCTAATTCAAACAACTTTTAATTATTCATAGTTATTAGTTGATAAATTATTTTTCAGAGTAATATAAATATAAATTATTATATAATTATAAGTGGCGTATTTTTATAGCAGAACAATAGGATATTTCTTAGATATTTTAAAAATTGGAGTAGTAAAGATTATTATAATTATCATTTATCATTATCGTCTATTATTTGATATACTTCATTACTTTGTATATTATAGACATATGTTTTTACATAAAGTTTTTATTGTTATGTCTTTTCTAGTTTTATATGATAGTTTAATTCTGCAACATTGAGTTGAAGTAGTTATTGAAAGTTTAATGTTAACGTTTAAATTATATATATATAGTATATTTGTGTATTATACAATATATCATCAAAAATATAACATTCAAATTTTTACATAAAATTATAAGTGAAGAAAATCAATAATCATGAAAATAAAAAATATAAATATTTTGTTGATACAAGAGGAGATTGACTAATAGGTCCTTCTAAATTTAACCACTCAAGTAAAAATATCGAATGACCGATCATTAAGTATTGTCATAATAATCACTATTAATGCATGTATAATAAAGTTAAACAACAAGTTAACCTTTCATTAGTGAACAGTGAATCAATTAAATTAAGTTATAAAGTTAAAGAATCACTGTGATTAGTGCGATTGTCCAAAATATGTCCTAATATAGAAAAATAATCAAATATTACTCGTTCAAAATAGGTTATAAATTTATCTGTACTTTACTTTTAGATTCTCAGCAAAGTGAAAATGCATTAATTTTAGAATGATACGCGTTTTGTTTTTAGTTTTGTATCTGAACTTAGAATTCAGGATATTTTTTTCTTGTAGAAAAAATAATCTAACCATCAACTTCGTTGCAGCACATTGAATCTAGTTGTTGATACTTTTAGGAGGTCAAAAATTGAAAACTCTCAGTACTTTTTAAAAAAATCAGGAAGAATAATAATATTTTTTAACATTTTAATATCATTGTTGAAATAATTATTTCCAAATAATCTAACCTAACCTTAATAATTAAAATGCTAAACAGTTTTCGCTCAGATAATTTTTTCATTCCATTGTTAAGTTGGTAGATATAATAATTTATCATTAAATTCAAATTTGATACATATTCATAACAGTACTTATTTAATAACGAAGTAAACTTGACACATATACTGCATATTAGAGCGATTATCAACTTAACAGCTTTTTAGTTATTATATAATATTAATATTAGTTTAACGTATAACGGAACAATATTATTCTAAAATTTAACGAATAAATACTTCATATTTTGTTCTAATTTTAAGTATAACCGCTTTTGTTCATAAGCACAATTTTTAATTTTCTTTTCAAGTTAAAATTAACAAAACTTCATAATATCTAACCTAAAATTCATAAATCGAACAGCTTAAAAGTTTTTTTGCCGAAAAAAGTAAACATTACAATATTGTAATGTCGTAATAACACAATGTTTCAATACGTATTTTTATACAGATATTTTTTAATCACACTGTGTTTCAACGTGTTTGTCAATCAAGGTAACGTACATAATGCCATGCTATCTATTGATATTGACAGCCATAAAAAATCCGACGGCCACCCTATGGTTTTGGACGGTTAATTTCATACTGAGGGAATTTCTAAGTCAACTGACATCGCTCTACGTCGACATGCGTTTGCCGAAAATCATTGAAAATACAAATAATTTCGACTCTAAATACGGTCGGCCCACGGAGCAAAGAACTGGCCCTCGTTACTACGTGATCGCTTATCTGGGATGTACGTTGACGTTGCTCTCGTGCGTCTGCATTGATGTTTTGCTTAATAAAATGTCAATTTCAGTGTTCTGTGAGACGGTTTTGAGGTACAGCTTTTTAATAAATAAATTAAATAATATTAAATCTACTGTGAACTCACTCGTAGACCTGAATCTAAAAATTTAAAAAGGCTGAAAGAAGGATACACGGTTTTATTTTTTAAATAAAACAAGTATAGTTTTAGTAGATAGCTAAATATTATATAACATAGTTTTTCCATGTAATTAAAAATTTGACAGTTACAAACAATGAAACTAGGCCACCATCAGTTTTTTTTGATTACTAAAAAATTTATATGTAGACTATAAACTCCTATCCATAATTTATTATAACAAACATAATATTTATCTTCACATTAAAATTTTATCTATGATATTCCCTTAAGATTAAATTAAGGATTTTGTATTACATTTTCTGGCTTAAGCTATTATAATTGAAAATGTTATGAATTTTAATTTTAAACCAGATTTGAATGTTTAAATATATTAACTTTAGAACATACAAACAATTTTTTTAATTTATTGATCTAGGAAAACGTAATTAGTTGTTTAGTATACAAAAATATATACTATACACTATTTTATTATATTCTTAAAGTCAAACTTTGATAAGTAAATTTGTTTAAAAGTTGTTAATAGAATCTAAAATATACAATAAGACATGGAATCCAAACTTGTTTTCAAAATCTATTTTTGGTAATTAAATAAATTAGTATTTAGTATGTTTTAATGAAAATAAGTCTTTTTATCACAAAAAATAGTTCGTTTCTAATCTCCTAAAGTAATTTTAAAATATTCTACGCTATACCATAATATAGAGTATGACCAATTATTCATGTAACAATTAACGAAAACCAACAAAATAAATATAACTAATTAGTTTATTAGGAAATTAAATATTTATTTATCTTAAACACAATATAACACAGCTAAAGAAGTTGGAAATATAGCCACTTGTCTTCTCCTCATCGGATCCACATACACACACGTATCGTAAATATTATTATCTAAGCACACAGCACTATTACATACAGTTTACATTAGGTGTTAAGTCGAACACGTGTATTTAAATAATATACACTGCAACAGGTACATTTTTTGTAACCACATGTTCATAAAATGTAATAAAGAAAGTAGTTTATATTTATTTTTTTACATGTAGGGAAATTAACTAACAGAGACAATAATATAAATACATGTGACGTAGGTGTTTAGTGTTTTCTTATAATTATCATTACATTATTACATAACATCGTAATATTATTACCAATTCTATTTTATATATTATAATATTATTTTTATTTCAATTTATCAGAACTACAAAAGTATATTGCAGCCACACTGGTTGCATCAGCGCATTTAGATGTGATACAATATTATATAGTACGTACTTATAACTAGTGGCGTGGTGAAAGGGATCTTATGGCATGTGGTCAATTGTTTGGGTGGATAGGTGGGTAGGTGGTCGGATACATTACGGTAAACAATAATTCAACACAAAAATGATATATAATCATAATAATTATATCTATTATATTATATTAAGGTGATTTAAAGAATTAAGGGCGGATAGATACTAAAATATATGTTATGTATAATTGCATATACACTTTACTATATACCACTGCTTATAACTAAACAAGAACAGGAAATGGAGATACGAAATATATTATTTTTATAAACACTATAACTTATAACATGTGACCCATTTCTACTGATGATACTGCGATGGAGTAGATTCGTCTAGCAAAATGTCGTCGTCCGGTACTCCGCTTATCTGTAAACAAGTAGAACGCAACAGTTTAAAATAATAATTCATTGAACAAATTTCGATGTCTCTCCGCAAACCAACAAAAATAATATATATTAAATTGACTTTTCTTGGTGTTTTTTTTATACATTTTTAAATATTTTCCTATTATTTAATAATATTAAAATATAACATATCTTCACTTTTTCCAAGTAATGCAACAAGTCAATTCGTCGTGGGCAATTAAACAATTATTTTTACACCCTATTACTACACTTACAAATCTCCTCCCCGATCAATCATATGGATCTAGCAGAATATCAATATCAAAATGCAAAATACGATAAATGTCCAAAAGCATTTCTATTAATTGAGTGAGTATGCGTCCCGTGTAGATGTTAGTGTGTAATATATTGATATTAAGAATTTGATTTATCTAAAAGTTTTAAGTGCGTACCTATACATATACATGTTTATAATACATATGACACTTATCGTTTTTTGATGAATGCTGGTGAACAAATATGATCAGAAATGTTTGCACCACTCGCCCGCTCTTACATCTACATATTATAGAATATTAGAATTGAACATATTTAAAAACGAACTACCTATAAAGACATAAAGTGTGTCACAAAAGTACAGTATCATTCAAATTATTTCCGTGGCAAATTAATATATTTATCTAAATTCACAATATTTTCAATAGTCATCTATATTCCACATTCTATGTAGAATGCAAATTATTCATTTAAAATGAAATTTTTGTTGGTTATTATTAAAAAAAATTATTTATATATGTAAATGTGTGAAGCTATGACAAAGATATTTAGAGTGATGCGAGACTTTACAACGTACCTACTATGGATATTTTTAAAAATATATCAAATTATTTTATTTTATACGCATAAAATAATATAGTATAATGTATTAATATATACTGCTTAAACTGCTATAATCGATGATGCCACAATTTATTACACTAATGCAGGTACATGAGTTCCATATTTCCGCTATTGTACTTGCTGTTCTGCGACGAGATGTGCATCCGTTTCCGATCGTTAAGGACACGGTGGCGTATAGAAGTGGCAAAGGTGCTCGCGTCTACGCCACGGACTACATGCCAAGTATTGGAGTCAGAACGATTAGCACACGCACAGCTCTGCGATCTCGTCGAGGAGATGCGCGTTGCATTCGGACCCCGGCTCACCACTTACCTGCTTTTCGTGTTCCTCGAACATCTGGCTCGGTTCTACTTTGATACGTACGTGATGCCCACTTACAGATTCAAGTACTCAGCACTGGAGAACAAGGGTGTCAGTATGTTTGATTCATTAATGTTCCTGGGGCATGCCTGGATCGGTACATTCCTGGTCGCCTATCTGTCAGATACGCTCACCGAATCTGTAATTAAATACATAATGTTATGTAGTTTCGTCACTGTAAACATTAAACACAATGATAAAAATAGATAGTATTAGACTATATAAATAAAAATCGACAAAAAAACTCTTTTACCAACCCTCGAATTTGTTGCGTCCTATAAGATATTATATTATGTAGTGATGTTTTAAGAGTATAATACATTATTATTCCAAATTTTTGTAGAAAATTTTACCCTCAAATTGTATTGTATATTTAAAAATCCATCCATATTATTAAATTAAAAAAAAAAAGTTACATAATTTCTCTATAACTAATCAATTAAGTACTTTAATTTTTAACAACGTCAATAAAATCTTCAATCTCAATACTATTCAACATATTTTTTTCTGTAGCCATACACAATAATGCCTCTAATTTTTATTTGTGTGAACCCTGATATCTCACAAATATAGTCCACTACTAAAGATAGATAAGAATACGAGTATAGAATGATGATAAAATTAAAAGGGACGTGTACGGTCTAATAAACCCGTAGAACGATAGAAAAATAGATTTTGTTGATTTTTATTACGCCTTTCGTGAAATGAGACAAATGTTTTTTTTTCACAGTACATTTATTCACCGTATAAAAATAAAACTATATAATATCTTGAATATTATAACACAAATTGCTTACGTGTATACACAGTTTGATTCTTTGTATCTACATCATCGTTATCAATTAAATATTATACACAAACATGTTACAATTATTAATATTTTAATATACACAAAAAATGATGAAATATACTTTACAAGGTTTACCATCCATTCACTATTATTATGGAATGTTTACTCTTCGTGAAACGCACAATTATATAACAAACATTATGTTTGTACTTGTAACTATACTATGTAAAGAGTACTGTGTACCTACCATATTAAAGTTGTTTTTTAGGTACCTGATACCTATCATATACGAAATAATAATATATTGTCGGTTTATTTCCAAGTGTTTCATAAAATATATTTTATCTAATCATCTTAATATTATCACAATGAGATTAAACATTATACAATATTGAAATTAAAAAAAAAAAAATGTGTTCAAAGTAAAAAAAAAATCACGATTGTCATTAAAAAAAATTCTTGACATTTAAATTTATTGCAAAACACCTTTTTTAAACAGATTATCTGTCTATCGTTGTCTAATTCATGAAAAATACATAATCTAGCATGCACGTCTGTTGCATACTATATAAATTATTAGTCATTTATTACAGTCAACGCCAATTTTGAGACTTACTTAACTGTAAATTTATTGTGAAGTGGTAAGTAAAGCTCGCAAAATACTCACAAGGTATTGAACGTATTCAATACCCTATAAATCGTATCATTCATTTTAGTGAAATCAAATGAATAATTTTCTAACCCAGTAATTCCAAACCGAGAAAAGAGAAACGCATTACAGTGTAGGTTTTCCGAATTTTTACAAATTCAAAATGAAATAGATAGTAATAAAAGTTGGGAATCCTTGGTCTTATCCGATTCCATGGTAATTCTAGACCACCGATACTATAATATACCTATTTACCTAAAGGCTACAGTATATACCACCACAAATCACAATCCTTTATTCATTTGTTTGATCGTCATTGTTGATCGAGATCATATTACTCATTACGGTATAGAAATATTTCCATTTTGGCCAAATAAACATTATTTAAACAACCCTGGTATAGGGACAAAAATGAATTTTCAACTATATCACACATATCTCTTAAACTATCTTACTAAATAATATACGTAATAAAGCACAGCTTTTATAAATTTAATTACAAATTAGTTATAACTATAAAAATAAATGATACTAAAATAATATTAAATACGATTTTTTATAGAGCAAAGAAATAATAACAGACTTAAGAAACATACCGATATGGAAATTACCTCAAGACTGCTCTGAACAGGTATATAATAAGTTCTAAATACTTAATTTTAATTTTTAACATCATCTACTTAATGTAAGCCTAAAACAGTATGAGTTATGTTATAAATATAATCTTATAAAATTGTATTTAAAGTTTCAATCATAACAGGTGATTGTATCATTATATTTTATTTTTTAGCTTCTAAGTACGTTGAAAATATAAAAATCAATATTTTTTCGAGTATGGGTAGGAGAGTTCCTTTTATTTAAATATCAAATATTTTTCGTTTATTTAGGTACATTTTTGTTTATTTTAATCATTTAATATTTACCTATTAGAATTCCAATACCTACAAGTTAAGTGTGTAAAATGTTATCAATCAATTTAATTCTTGATAATTATTTTATGTTAAAGAAATTGTTTTAGATTTTTTCATGTTATTATAATGTGTAATATGCTTAACAAAACGTAAGTATGTATGTTAATGATTGTACTGTATACTTTGCAGATTACTTTCTTTATGTCTCAAGTACAAAATTCTCAAACCGTTATAACAGCGTCTGGTCTATTCACAGTCAATAAGACTATTCTATCATCAGTAAGTATTAAATATAATAGTAGCAAAACGATCATAATTATTATCGTTATTCGAGTAATGGAGTTCATAAAATACTAGTTATATTTATTTTAGAATTATTTTGGTGCAGCAAATAAATTGCATCTAACTTCAGTGTTTAATAATTAATTGTATTATTTAATATTATTAAAAAATATTATTAAGTATATTATGCTAAACAAAATTATTATACCAAAAAAAACTTTCAAAAATTAGGTATAGGTACTTACCTAAGATACATAAATTATTAATAATGTCGACAATCAAAACATTCAGAATTATATTAATTGTACTATACTAAATAATACATTTTCTATTTTTCTATTTCAGTCAATAATTACTTAAAATCTTTTACAATAACAATTATAATTATGGTGTTGCGTGTACTACAGATCATATACATCTTCTATCTATAGTAATAACAAAAAATAAAAACAATTTTACTTCAAGTCTTTTTATTGCAAGTGTTAAATAAATTCTAAAAGTATACAAACCTACTTAGGACAAATAAACATGTAGTCCACTCAACGTTTTGAATAAACTACTCGGGTGAAGTGTTATATGGATACATGTTATTACAGTAAATATAAATTTATATAAAACGAGCTATTATTATCCAGCTTAAATAACAATATTGAATATTCTGAGTGAAGATGTTTTTTTTTTTTATATTCAATTTTCAAATTAATTGAATTGTGTATATTGGCAATATTGTGCAAAGTTAATATTGTTGCACTATACATTCAATATCAATATATAATTTATATTAACTTGGTACATACTTTAAAAAGTGTTTTTCTAAATATTACTACATACAAAACATCGCTGTAAATCTAATAGCTCTGCTTATGAAATAAGTATAAATAATTATAAAATAACTGTTTTTATAAATTATAAAAACGAGAATATTGTCAACATACATTATTATGTATAACTGTATAAGTAAGGAATAGATACTTAATATAAATTTTAAAAATTTAAACGTGTTAAAAAGCCATATATGTAACGCCAACGCGTTAGTGAATACTTTGCGTGGCATTATTGCACTTATACGACAATGATTATTAATACCAACATAGGTACCTATTATTATAAATTATTTGAATTTTTTATATATTCAGTTATTTTATAATTGACGTACAACATTATATTGTTATATAATTTACATGTAATAAATTACAATCACTCGATCGAATCTATTACAAATTTATTTTACTAGCCATCAATATATTTCTAAAGTAATAAAATAATATAAAATTTGTAAAAAAAATTATTGTTTAGTATATAAATTAATACATTCATTAGTATTACTGATATAATTTAATACTTATTATAATTTTCTATATTATTTAACGCTTTATAATTTATTCTTGTCTAATTATATTATCAAGGTTCGTTCAAATTATAATAAAACATTCAGAATGAAAACATATTTTTTGACATTCTAATACAATAATGATAAAAATTAATACTTAAAAATAAAACCTAAATTGTTGGTATACGTCATAATATTTTGTATTGTAAAATATTGTATCTTTATTATATTGTACACCATCACTTAAGATATATCTAAATATCATTATATCAGTGCACTTTTACATTGTTTAATTTTATGGATTTCAAGTTTCCAAGTCTTGTAGATCAAGCTATTGAGCACATACTTATTATACTGAAGTTAAATATAATAATGCGTGCAAATAAATTTCGGTAGATTATTATTGAATAATAACCATGAAATAAAATATACCCGAATGACATGTAAAATCGTATAAATAAAACTTGTAGGAAATACCTATAAGTCAACAAAATATTATATAGCGTATGTTAAACTTTATTTTGACGATTAAAAATTAATGTGTTCAACTATCTATCATTTTCAAATATTTTAAGAATTTTTGTAGATAATGTCTTAAAATATTAATTATAGAATATAGATATTTAGAATGATATAAAAGAAATATAATATATATATTACTATCTAATTGTTATTAAGAGTCAATGTTAACATTTGGCAATTATATATAATATCACTAAAATTAAATAATCTCATATTTTTTTTTAAGTTTATTTAATAAAAAGATTTACAACTCCATGAAATGATGAACTAAGTACAAGTTATATGATTATTAAATAGTTGAGGTACCTAAAATGCATAATTAAAAACGAACACAATAATATTGAAATAGTTAAAAAATTCCAAGATATCGCAATTTACCTATAAATAATAACGTAAGTATAATATGTGATAGTAATATAATTACCCTCAATAAATAGTCGTGTAAAAAGTATTGGAACAATAAAACTTTTACAATTTACGATTATAAAGTTGATTTACTAAATTTAATTGTATACAAATAAACAATAAGTTGTACAATTTAAAATCTATAGTAATAACTAATAAGTAAGAATTTATTTAAAACCTTCAAACTTTCACTATCATTAAATCAGAAATGGTTTATATTTATTTATTTTTTATTTAATTTGATATTTGTGTAGGAATTATAGTAAATGTGTAGGTATTAAAAATTAAATAATCTCACATTTTTGTGTTTTTATTGTTTTTTTAGATAATAATATCATTGGCTACGTACATTATAGTACTCATACAATTGGCTCCGGACTTAGGACGCATATTTATCGAATAAATTATAAAATATCAGTAATAATAATAATAATAAGTTATGAATACATTTAGAAATGTAATTTTACTAAACAATAACACACTCGCTTACTTCCCACGCGCACGGTGGCAACTCAGCCGATGCACTCTTTGGGGCACGCCCATGAAATAATGAAAAATAAAAACACGTCTCGAGGAATTTTTTCGTACACTCCAGGCATTCATTGCCCTTCAGAAAATTCATATTAACAATTACCGTCACATATTTATCCATTTGGATTGATCTCGTTTTGGTCAGGTTAAGTGTAATTTCGCCCAGGAAGTCAAACACTACGTAAATGAAATGATACGATTTTTTTTATGATTATTATTATTATTATTATTTAATTTTACATCGATAATATTTCCCTCCATTATCTTCGGTTCCTTAGGGCGTATCCGCTAACCTTGCTCGCAATGCAAGGCAATCAGGACTTGGGCGACGATCTTTTATAAATACGCTATTCACAGACATCAAGCAGTACAGTTCTCGTTTACTAGTTGCCGTAGCACAAGACAATATTGAAGAAATCATGAGCCGATTTGTCGTAAGTACACTTTACAACACAAAAATAATCTTTATATATACTATTTTACATTATATTTCACTCTACAGTGTCGGTATGTAATAGGTACGTTTGAATAGACTCTGTTAGATCAATAAAACTGTTGTATTATATTTTATGATGCAAGGCGTTAAAGTTGCTATAAATATATTCTAAGTTCAATTTTGAAAAAATACTTTGAAAACATTTGATTTTATTTAAACTCTAATTCAGTTCGCCTAATGCATACCTTAATTTTTGTATGAATATAAACTATTCTCGTTTATGTATTCTTTTAACATATAATAATGTATTTAATATGATAAAATCTAATTAAAAACGTTTCGATATTATGTTAAAATATATCTTAAGATTTCAATATAAAACATTACTTATACTAAACAGTTTTTTTTTACGTACGATAAGCTATTAAATCAATAAATATTATTTGATTTTGTGACAGCGTAATTTTAACGTTTCAATTCAAATTTTTAAGTTTTTGTTGTAGCTATAGGTAAAATAATTTAAAGACGTAGAAATCGATATCAGTCCCTTAAAATATTTTGAAAGTATCTTACACCGAATACTATGGAAATTTCAGGTATTTGTCTCGATGGCGTTGACGTCGGTGGCGTTGGCCGCCGCCCAGCAGAACGCCGCCATACTGACTGATGCCCGGTATCTATCCAACAACGGTCAGTTTGGCGCCGCTTACACGCAGGGCGATGGTGTGCAGTTTAAGGAGGAAGCGGATGCTGAGGGTAACAGACGAGGCTCCTACAGTTACGTAGACCCCAACGGCCAAAGGCGGACAGTCAGCTACACTGCCGGCAAGGACGGTTTCAAGGCCACCGGTGACCATTTGCCGGTAGCCCCAACTCCGGTTCCGGTACCTGCTGTTCACGCTGCGCCCGCGCCTAAGTCGGCTTCATGGCAAGACCAATGGTGAGTACACTAGCTACATATATACATATGAACTTCGCGTCCCCTATACTGTGCTATAAGTTGCCAATAACCAATGTTGTTAGAAAAAGACAGTCAATACACATGTAAAGTCACTTAAACTGTGTGCAATTTTTTTTTTTTTTAAATGTTGATCCCATGATCTCTTTTATTGTTACCAATCCATTTTTTTACACTTATATGCTTCTACTATTTTTTTGGGCTCGATAAGAGTCGTAAATAGGCATTTACTTTTTTTAATTCAAAATATATAGAGGGCTACACTCACAAGCAACCGATGCTAATGTGTGATTTTTTTTCTTAATTTTTATACCATGCAATGGTTGTGATGGTTCATTATGAGCGATTATCTTAGCTATAACAATCGCCTTCCCCACGGGTAGATATGCGTGGTTGATGAGTCTATCATCATGACATTACTCCAAAAAGTACCTATAATCAATTAAATTTGTACGCGAGATGGTTAGAATTGAACACGTACTATAGTATGTGTATAGATTTCGGAGACATAATAACATTAGTGACTCTCGGAAAGATAATATTTATTTTTTTTTTAAGTTATATAATCGGTTCAGAGAAATATTAAAATAACATAATTATTATACATACTGTGTTCAATTTTATTCACACTGTCCGCTTGTTATAATTGCAATACGCGTTCAAATAACTTTTTAATATTATTATCGTCAACCACATAGGTACGATTTTTAATTCATCTGTAACCGGATATAAAACAATATCATATTATTTTATAGTTGTGAATTAATGCGATATATATTATAATACTGTTTTACTCCACTAAATACTGTTTTAGTATTTATAACAGTAAATTTTTTTTAATACTCGGTCTTGACATATATTATATGATTATGCTAAACGAATGATTAAAATATTATTATTTGGTTAAAAATGGATTATTATTTATTGTTCGCCACAATTACAAATTTTTAAACCGTAGATCCTCGTTATATATATATATATATATATATATATATATATATAGACTGTATCCTACAAACAATGACAACAACATAGGTTTTTAACGTGCGTTTTTCATTACATTTTTGTATTAATAAATGCTGTCCTACTTATGGTAAACAATACTCCGAAACTTGATTTCCTGTTTTTAAATTTATTTTGATTATATTTTAGGTCTCAACCACCAGCGGTGCCTAACCAATGGAACCAATGGAACTCAGCACCCACACCTAAGTATGACGATGGACAATGGAACCAATGGAGCTCAGAAACCGGATCGGATTCCGATGATGGTCAATGGAACAAATGGAGCTCAGAAGTTGCATCATCGAAATCCGATGATGACGGTCAATGGAACCAATGGAGTTCAGAATCGTCTAACGACGGTCAATGGAACCAATGGAACTCCGCTCCATCGACTGCGGCGCCAAAACACAGTCAATGGAACCAATGGAACTCTATTCCAACCACTGCCAAATGGAATCAATGGAACTCTGCCCCGACACCACCACCCTCGTCATACAACGTCAACCATGCTTCCGGCAAATTTAACTTGAACAGATCTCCAGATGGCTTCAGCTACACGTTCAGTCAAAACTGATGCGCACCTATAGCTAAGCCCTAAGAAAACTACTAAATGTAACATATTGTTCTTTTATCGATTTGTTTTTATATTTTATTAAAGACTAGTCCACGTTAAAAAAAAAAAAAAATAAATAAAATAACCTATTTAAAACATATAACAAAATCTAATTATTTCTGTCGTTCCGACTACATAATATGATATTTATCGTGCATAGAATATGTTCTTTGATAAAAATGGCCATTAAGTCAAATTTAATTACCATTCATAATAAACGGTTTCCAATTGAGCATTTTTGAAACAGTTTTTGACGTCAACTTTGACAGGTAATGTTCCGAAACCCAAAACATATTCTATGTTACAAACGAAATAAAACACAATGATAATGCACACCAAATTTTCATTCGGCATCAATGTACGCCGCAAGCGATGACGAAGGACCAGCAACATAAACGATAGTAACAGAACGGCCTGCCCTGTCCGTGTATAGGTAATGTCCTTTCGTAGTACCAATCTGTCTAGCGAGCCGTTCGATATGAGCCACTAAGTTTTTCAAAGTTATGTCGTTCGGAGTCGCATTAGTAATATAATCTGCATGGTAGTCCAAAATATAATCGTCCGACTCGGTCGGAGTAGTCGTATACGACTGATCATCGGTCTCGGTGAAATCTGGAAGAAATCGATCGATAGTACCTAATCTTCCTGGAACACAGCTCGTTCTTGTAAGTACTAAAAATAATACGACGGATTTTGCCTACAAACGATAGTAATATAATATTATTAATATTATCTTTTGAAATAGTTCATATTATGCATGTACGTCACGTGTATTTTACGAATAATCATAATAATAATGTAAAATGTATACAATCAATTCGCTTTTTTGACGGTTTATACTTACGTAAAAAGATTCCATTGTGACAGCGAGTGTAGGAAATATAATTTGAGCTTGAAATCAGTTGCCCCCAGGCTTTTATAGGAGAACGAATGAAAAAACAACAGCGCTCCAGTCTTTGTTCAATGTCAACTAGTCCATATGTATCTGAATAATTGACATTGGGCATATTCGTTGTTGTTTATATATTTTAATATTTTAGTCGTAATGAATAAGTGCTTCAGTTTCATTGATTTTTAACAATTTGATAATAATTTTAAATTACATAATATTTTATTTTTTTTTTTATCTTTATTTTAAGCAACCAAGTTACAAAAGTATTCACAAATCAAATATTCTAATATCCTATCTATTTCTCTCAAGATAAAATAACGCAGTCACTAGTCAAGTTGTATTTTAACTTAGAACTGCTGTTGAACAATTACAGTTAAAATTTCTGGCCAAAAAAAAAAAACAAAAACAAAAATATTAAGAGTGAGAACTTAAAAATAATAATAATTTATAACAATGATGTTAAAAAAAAAAAAATTTTATATTTTATATTTGCTTAATATATTATATCAAACTGTCTGCACTTTCTATTGCTTTTGATTCATTTTAGTACTGAAAATAATTGTATTCATTTACCACTAAATAATAATTTTTTATTACTTTACTAAAATATTAATTAGATTTATGAAATATTTTATCAAAACTTGTTATTTAAATTTTAAGAAATATCCTTATTACCTATAAATGATAAGTTTTAAACATTTTGAATAATTCTTAATTTTTTATATATTTATTTAATCTTGTAAGAGATAGAGCTGAAAAATAATTAGAATCATGTATGAATAATATTATAAAAACTATAAGTTAATTTATAAGCAACGCATTTCATATTTTTACCACATAAATACACATTATTACGTAATGATTAAATTTATTAATATAATTAAACATATATTATATTAATTTAAATTTGCAATAATATTAACACAAGTTTTAAGCCAATGCATTTTTAAACCGCATAATATACATATTATACGTAGGTACCAATATAAAGTTTCTTATTTTGTTGTGTTTTTATTTATAATAACTAATAAATCTCTATAATAGCTACAACCAATTAAACATTTAGAAAATAAAATAGCATTCACAGAACCTACCTATCTTTTTATTGATTTTTATTATTATTATTATTATGTACATGAAACCCATACAATATTTTTAAGCAAAGAACAATTTTTAATTGTATTTTAAGTTTATAAAAATAATTAAAGTAATGAATGAATTACATTTTAAATACAAATGGACAGAATGCACTATTGATTGAACAAATAAATAAAAACTTACAATTATTACTCTCCCGTCAAAATAAAAATAATTTATTGAGTTTAATAAATCATTTTTTGATAACAAAAATAATATCAGCAGATTAAATATTTCTCTCATTAGTTATAAATATATAGAAAGTTATATAGAATTGTATTTGAAATACACATAAACAATTTATAATAATTATAAAATAATAAAAACAAAAATTATTTATTATAATAAATTAAAAAAAAAAAATTAAATTGTATTAAAGATTTAGTAATTTGATTAAGATGTATTGTCTATTTAATTATTATTAGATTATTATATAATGGAAATTAAGAAACAGAAATTAAACTTACAAGTCACAGTTTTCTAAGATCCACTGATAGCCTATAGACAGCAACTTAATTTGGAAGGAAAAAGATCGAAATAATTAAAACACAATAAGCAAATCAAAATTAACCTATTTCAATCATACAACTAAAAAATATAACATACAGATTATCAAACTGAACCATTTTACTTAATTACAACGATTGTATTTATAATAATTCGAGCTAAGATTTTAATGTCTTAAAAAATTCGCAAAAGAATTTGATATAACAAAAAATGTAAACCTGTTTTGACAAAAACAAGTTTAGCACATATATTTACATTTACTTTTGTTAATTTTTCCCTAAAAAAATGTGTAACGACAGAAACACAAAAAACTTAGACACATACGACATACATTATTATATTAAATTAATACATCCCTCACTCTACTCAGAAATCAAAATCTGTATGAAAGATAATCATAGATATTAAAAATGTAATAAATAAAAAATGCCATAAAAAATGTATGTACTTATCTTTAACGTATTGGTAAAAAAGTCACCTTGCATATAACACATTAGTTATATTTTTTTGTAGTAGAATATGCAGACATTGACTTTTGCTCCTTCGTATAATTCAATTTGACTTTAGTTTATTGGTTTATGATATAAAATATAATTTATTATTATTTAAGTTCTTTGTACTTACTGACTACAATTTTTATTTATTGTACGCAATTAATTTTAATGTTTATGGTATAGTGATCTTCGTATTGTGATAATTTAGAAGTACTATAGTATGAATATTTATTTTAACACATTAAATCAATGTATTAGTGTAACTAATTAATCGTTAAAAATTAAATTAACATGCTATAGTCTTAATAAAATGCATAGACTTATCAATACTGTATTTTTTTACATATAGATAACGTTATAAAATATATATACATAATTATTAAGAATATTTTATTGCCTATTTAAATTATCAAAAAAAATTGCATATTTTTTTTTATATTTGGTATTTTATATAACCGTATAAGTTAATACCAATAAACTGTAAAAAGATGTGAGTTATTTTGGGATATAAATAGTTAAAACATCTATAAATTAATTTAAAATATTGAAAATTTCATCAAGTATATAGTAAAATAATAATATATCTACACGTTTTCCTAAAGTCTCAAGTCCCTATAAATTATATTTTTTAAATTACAATGAAGTAACCGACATAGTTTTTTTAGCATTGAAATATCAAATTTGTTAAAATATGAACACATTATTCTAAAACTAACCCATTTATTTTATTAAATTTTTATTACATATAAATCTCTAGAAAGCATTAATGAATTGCCATAAGAATTTGAACATATCAAAAATATTAGACATGAAATATTTAATTGTACGACTTGAGATGTGAAATTTTTAAAATACCATATATCATAGTTCAATATTTATAAATGAAATTATGACAGTATGAATAACTACAAATAAAGTGAACTATCTACCAACAAAGTCTTAGCTCAATCTTGTACGTTTAATCAAATTCATTGATTAAGTGAATCATTGTAACGTTTTGACCTACTCGATGGCGACAGACACATTCGATATTTATAAATTATATTATACAGCAAAGCGAATTTCTCAAGAAGAATTAATTTTTTAGTTAAAATATACACACATACACTATACAATTAATATAGGTACTTACTTACTGAAAACATGTTATAATGATAATGGATATGTTTAACTATAAAAATTCAATTGAAGATTTAAATTGGATTTAAATAATCGTTTCATTTACCAGGTAACTTGTCTATCAATCAAACTCTAATATAGCTGTCTCAAAAGTTGGCCAGAATGATGGGTATCCTTATAATCAGAGCCAATGATAAATAATTGTATTAAAAAAAATAATGCCGTATGAAGTCTGATATGTACGGTACCTACTCAAAAATTATCAAGGTTTAAAATAAACATTTTCTGGAAAACTTCCAAAATGTTTAAGAAATAACCTATTTTAAATCTGACCTATGTTCAATTTTAAATCCATATAGATGCTGTGATTTTTAGTGTCTCCAAATGCGTTTTTCAATATAAAAAAAAACTAATGTAATTGCCTTTTAAAGCATATCTCCATAATGTTTAGTATTCTTGTTAATTTGTATATACCAATATAATATTACAACATAAAACTAATCAGTGGAATGTAGGTATAGCTGCAAGTAGACCTATAATCTACTACAAGCTCATTATTAATAATATTATTTCTTAATACGTATAATATATATACTATTGAACATGAAATATACATAATCAATTTAACACGTGCTTAGATTTTAAATAGGTATATCCAACCGATACAAATTATCAATTCGCTATTGTTATATTATATTAGAAAATTTTTCAGTTACATATGAGTATGTCATCTTATCTTTAGCAATAATGATCGGTCGTAGTTTTATCGATATTATGTGGCTGTGAACGTGAAAATACAACTAAAAACAAATATATGTGCTATAAATAATAATATGCGCTTTAAAACAACTAATATGCATTAAATATGTATTAAATAGGCAAAATCGTTGAAATATGAAAAATATGCAAAACACAATTAGTGTTATTTTAATAAAAATGATCTAAATCGGGGACAATTCTCATCGAATTTCAAAAATCTTATTCCAATACATATATTATGCATTTGCATATAAATCCGGTCTTTGGTATTAAAATTTGATAGTAATGCACTTGTTATAGTTTCTGTACCCACGATAAAACAATGTGCCAAAATCATTAAATCAAATATTATTTGGCAAAATACTTACAACACATACCTACATAAGTATGTCAAATAATGTAATGGACTTATAAATAAATATTATAAATAATTTAAATAATCTGGTCGCGTAAAATCTATCGACACAAATGCTAATATTTGACCTATTTTATTTTAATTTGTTCATTGCCATTATGCTTTAAACTTTAAAATTTATCTCATTAAACATAATTCTTCAAATACAGATAATATAGTTTACACTTGTTCAACTCAATCGAATAATCATATAACTTTTTGGACGTTTAAAATTCAATAATAGCACATTGAACTGTGCTATGTAATAGCTTAAAATTTATTTTCCGATCAAATAAAGTTTGCTTCTAATTATTTTGTGATTGAAATTGATATTTAAAAAAAATGTACATAAATAATTTTTATTATTTACAATGGTTTACAATGTTTATATATATATATATTAAAATATATAATATTGTATGTTTACTTTGTTTTAATATTTTAATTCAACTTAGTCGTTTAACCTTGTTGTTTGAACTTTGTAATCGAATAAATGGCTTTTTTAAACATTAATAACATTTAAATCGTTTAATAGTTTATTATATTAAATATTATTATACGTAACATAGGACTGAAGAAACGTAAATATATTAAATATTTGCTTTACCTATACAGTGCACGTTCTGTAACATTACGGGGTTAGCGATCGAAACTATATAGTTAACAATTAATAGTATACATTTTTGAAATTGACTGATACTTATGATAACAATCACATTTTACATTCAACTACATCAGTAATGCATGAGGATGTTGGTTTTATGTAAATGGCATTAAATCTTCAATTAAACGGTTTATTTTTAAACAAATTAAAAAAATATTCACTTATACGTTAGTGTATTTCACATGATTACATTTTTCAACATTCATGAAAATTTCAAGGAAACTGTAAGTATAGTATTCAAATCTTAATTTTTTTTTTTATGTTTTCCATAATAAATTTGGGATAATTGATTAATATAGATTATTATGTTATATCATAACTTATGTATATAAAATATTTTGATAACGTAAAATTTGAATTATATTATATAATATTTATCATTCTAATAATTTATTATTAGACTTTAACTTTATAATCAATAAGTACCTAACAACACAGTTATAAAGTTTACGTTCGTAAGAAATTAATATAATTATACACAAGACAATAAACTTTTATTTTTATCAAATTAAAATGTATTTAAAAAAAATTATGTACTTTCAAAGTATTCCGAGATAAAGTTTTAAATCTGAAATCAATCATTTTTGGTATAGCATATTTTAGGTAGGGCGCTATTTATATTTTTATTAAATATACTCGTACAACCGTAATGGAAAACTATTAAATAATTCACGTTAATTTTATATTGGCCTAATTTTCGGAGCAGATGAAATAAATAAAATGTTCCAGAAAAAACTAAACTCATTTACTATACAACTTCATACAATAATTAATGAACTAAGTCCGCAACACAACAATGCGACACGTTAAATATATATATATATTCTTTACGATTCATTATAATTGTCAAAACTATAGCAAACACATTTTAAATTTTGATCTTATTTTGAATATTGTGATAAACGTATTTCTATTTTTTATCGGTCGCGCGTCGTCACTATCATTAACGTTTCCGTTCTATAACGGAACAAAACGGATCGTGGGCTTTTATCACAAACAGTGTACGAATAATATTGATTTACAAACATTTAATATGCACATATTATATTATTTGTATTTCATTCCGGGGGACAATGGAAATGAGAACATTTGTTTTGAGATAAAACGTATCGTTTTAGTCGCTCACAGTCCGTACCGAAATATTGTCATTCGAACTGTAATAGGATATATTATTAATACAGGGACACAATGTGGTCGAAAACCGTCACTTTTACAGCATATCTATGGCTGCTAGCCGTCACAGATTTCCAATTAGCGTTCGCCGCCCAAGATGCCACGTGAGTATTGATTCGAGCGGTTTTCAATATATTCAACCATTGAAATCGCGACAAATATATTTTAATATATTATAACGACGGTATAAAAAGGCCAAATTATGTAATATATTTAATGCCACTAACGGAATAAAAATTTTAATATATAAAAGACATAATTATTAATACATATTTTTTCTGATTAACGAAATTCTCGAATCATTTATTTGGTTTAAAATAATAAAAATTTACCACAGCTCAAATTATTTTTAACAAAACTATTATCGTAATTGTAGTCGCTCCTGAAACAATTAATTTTTTATAGATAAATGGCCATTTTAGCGTTATTTATATAAAAAAAAAAATCATAAATTAAATGTCCTTACCTATATAAATATTTAACATGTATAGACACGAAGACATAAGAACGGCAATATATTCATTCGCACACTCGTTGCGCGATAATGTGGACAAATTGGAGCGACACGAACGGCGTGAAAAACAATCGAGCGATCAAATGCAAAATATGCTTTTGACGATTGTGAATAAGCAGAGAGAGCAAAATGTAGAAGGCAAGGAACTCGAGATGGCCATCAAAGGATTGGAAGAAAGTATGAGCACATTAACGAGAGCAGAAACAGAGGAGGTAAGAAAATGTAACAAAAAGACTTACAAATTGCATCATTAAAGTACACTTAAAGGGTTAAACTCTATCAATATTTTAGGCCAAAACGCTTATAAAATTATAAAAATTATAAATTAATTTATTTTATAAAAAAAATAATAATAATCAAAGCATTAAAGAAAAAATGCAAGTTTTCATTAGTATGCATCAACATTTTAAAAGATTCCTCATCATATGAATAAGTATATGCGATAACTTTAAATCCCGAAATCAAGATCCTCAATTGTTAAGATGCTTGCAAAAGTAATGAATCAGATAATTGTGAATAAGTTTTAATACAAATATATTATGAAATAAAAAGTATTGTTTTAAGATTGTTATATTTTTTTTTTTTATTTTAGTTAAAATGTGGAGAGGATTTTACCTAAATAGGAAAAATTTTAAACCATCATCTCGAAATGTCTTTAACTGAGATTGAAACGTTATATTAACAGGAAACCCCAAGCAAAAAAATATTTTGTGTTAAAAACGTTCATACATTTTGAGATATAAATTTAAAATTCAATTTTTCATGTATTGAAAAATTTTACTTTAATTTTCAGACTGCCGATAGAAAAAGTACAAAACTCATGTTAGAGAACTTAGACAAACGCATCGTTTCTACTGAGGCCGAGGTTAAGTCTATGTTAATAGCAGAACAAAAGTCTTCGAACCAGCTGTACCAATCGTTCGACGACAAGCTAAACGCCATGTCGGAACAAATCAGTGCGCTACAAACCCGATTCGATTCTCTGGAACGGACTCCTAAGTCCAATGTGACAAACGATGTCATCTTTGAACTACTGAACAAAATAATGATCGACCAGAGCTCACAGAACCACGCCACAGTGTCAGAGCCCGCGAACGCCACGTCTCAACTAGTACAGGAGACCAGGCACGTGATCATGGAGGCGGTCAAGTCGCTGTCAGATCGAATGGACGATAGCGACCGGAAGCGCGCGGCGTCAGATGCAAAGCTGACGGAAGTGGCCAAATCAGCTGCCGCGTTCCAAGACGACGTGCAAAACAGCTTCCGGTTAATGTCGAACGAGGTGAAGACTCTGTCAGACGTGGAGAAAGTACTCGTGCAAACAGCCGACAACGTGCTGGACACTAAACGGAGGATTGAATACGGCACGCACCAGATACTGATGGAAGTGACGGCGGTAATCAACGATCGATCGAAGGAGCTGAACGACTCGGTAAATTCCGGCCTGGAGCTGGCGGTGAAGACCGTGCTGGACGCGCAGTCTGTAGGTATGGCCAACCTGAGCGTGAAAATCGAAACGGAAATCAGCCAAGTGTGGAGGCAGATCGGCATCATGTACCAAACGCTCACAGACTCGGCATCCACGTTGGCCACGCTCCAACAGCAAACGGACGTGTTCGTCAACAGCACGGCCACTTCAGTGGACGGCATGAATGGAAAAGTGTCAGCGATCGCCGGCCGCATGACGGAGGTGGATGAGAATCTCAACTACTTGCTAGGACGATTGTCGCTGGTCACACAGGAGTTCAAAGAGATCAAAGTCGGGCTTGGCGAGGCGCTGGAGAGCATCAGGGTCGGATTGCAAACAGTACAAGGTAACAAGGCAGCAGTGGACCTGGGACCTGGTCCAAATCCCATCGATGAAGAATTTTCAGAAAACATCAATCCGAACGTACTGTCGAAAACCGTTTACACAGTCACATAGACCCAATCGCAATTGATTACATTTTATAATATTATAAAATTACAATCATTTCATTTTTTTTTTTTTTACACTTCAAGTCCAGTGACAATTATCACTATGTCTTTATTGATCACAGCGATTTAAAAACCCTTTAAAATGTTATAACACTTATTCAAAAACATTTAATTTATTTTAATGATTTAGAGATGACGAATAAAAATTATAGATAATTATTTAGTCTGTTAATGATTATTACACATTTTAACGATCTTTTGTTAAGCTATAAGGATATGGGGAAGACCAGATAAATATAAGTATTAATAGTACACTGTACACTAAATAACGATGAAATTTTTACTAAAAATTATACTGTGCCTACCTGTAATACGTAATAATGTTACAACTTTTATAGATGGAACCCTTTTACTAATTATTAAAGTTAAGTAGCTTTAACAATTTTGGCGTAGAAATTAGGAATTTAACTTTCAATTTTCCACGTGTAAACATCACAATGTATTACAAAAAATACTATTTAAAATGTTACAAAAATAATAACTATGATTTTTAAAATGATTATAATATCATATTTAGTATAAAAATAATATTGTATTCGATATTCTTAGATTCCTAGATGTTTATATTGATCATGATAATTTTAATTATTGTTCAAGTTTGAATCGATAAATATTTTCTCAGTTTATTTAATTCTATGTTTTTAAAATAAGTAAGTTAAAATTTGTGATGAACCGATATAAATGTTGTAACTAATATAAAATCGATAACCGATGTTTAAAAACCATAATGAAAATAATATATCGATTGAAAGCCTGATATCCGTTATTAACCAATATTGTTTTATTGATATTTTAAAACATACAGCTTTAAAAAAATATGTTAGCCGTAGCACAATTTATTTAGGATTTATCGATATTCATTAATAATTACTATAAAATAATCAATGTTTTAAATTTCACAAAGTAATTAATAATAAATTAAATTAGAAATGATTTTTTTATTTCAAAAACACTAAATGTTTTTTCTTCAAAAATATCAGATCAAACATCAATTAAAAAAAAAAAAAAAAACCCCAATATTCAATATCACTAACACTGATACACGCTTCTAATTAAAATATACTAAACACTAGTGTTTTTAGTCTAAAGTAGGAATCTACTCATATAATGTTGTAACAGAAACTAGAAAAAAGTCAGCAGAGTTTAAGACAGGATAATTCCATTAGCATTATTTAACTTGTCTCGAGCAACGCCGTGAACAAACAAATATAATTAATAAATATTTCTACTATATAAATCAAGGGACTAAAACATAAGACCTTTATGCAAATCCAGTAGATTTAATCCACAATTTTTGACTGACTTTCGTAAAATTTTCGTCTATAAATTCAGTATAATCCGTATAATGTCATAAACTCATAAGCTACTTTTTACTTTTCAACACATTAATTTTGAATATAATCTACTCGCACGAAAAACTTTTGTTACCATATATTATATTGTTTTCATTAGTTATAGTAAATAAAATAGTTATTATGATTGTACCTATGTATAATTTTAGATCCATATTTTTTAGAAATATATATACATATTTTTTTATTTTTTTATTTTTTTTTTTTTTGTCAAAACAATTCAAATAACTATGTTAGAAATTTGTGATGTTTACATTTAATGGGTTTTAAGTAGGGTTAAATTCATAGGAATTTAATTTTTCACGTACAGGATCAACTATTCATTTATATTTTTTAGTTTTTTGCTATTAATTAACTAGTTTATTATTATCATATTAAAATAAATGACTTTTAAAAAGTTTAAACATCAAAACGTGTTACTTTTTTGCTTCAATAATTAAGTAATACACCTACTTATTACTTATTACTTACACGTTAAATAATTAGATAATCTTATAACAATTTCATAAAAAATTACCGAAATGTGAAAAATACTAAATAGTAAAAATTAAATCAACTTGTAATTTAAATATCTAAAAACAACATAAATACATTATTCGTACAATTAGATGATATAAGATTGCCGAAAATATCGTTATGCCCTGTAGGATACCTTATAACTATTTTAAAATTGATTTATACATTTTTTAAATATAAACGTCAATTTTATCAACTATAAATAATAAATTAAAAATTAAAAATGCAATAAATAAGACCCAAACCAAGTACATGAAGGTTACCAGATATAAAGAGGCCCTCATCCTGCTTTACATTCAAAAAAAAAAATTATGGCTAAAACTTTCACTCTTTATAACTTATTTATAAATATTTTGTATGATTCGTACAAATTTAAGATTCAATTAACAATCATCGACCGTAATCTATTCTCCATCGTTAAACTTTTATATGTACGTATGTTTGTAATAAATAGGATCAGCAATTAGCATACGGCTAATTCAACACAAAATATTTAAAAAAAATATTTCGTTTATTAGTCTCTTTATAATATTTATCAATATGAATAATTATATAATATTTTACTTGATATCATGTGTTAGATATTAATATTTATACAATAAATAATAACTTTGTACATTGTTTAAAAAGAAAAATTGTAATCTATACATTAAATAACAGTGGTCATTTTATATAGTTTTGTCTTTGTTCCAAAACTCGTTTTTCGTTAAATCATTGAGAATTTGATGAAGTTTTCAACGGGTTCATCACTTCCAATTCGCTTGATGAAACACCATTTGATTTTTCTGCGCTGGGTCCCGAATTCCACGATAACGTTTTCGCTGTTCCAAATATTAAAAATACCATAGCGCCACACATGTATGTTACAGCCAAAATCCAAAATACAATACACCATTGCTCAAATGTTTGCTGCAAGTATATGTAAAATTATGCGTATAATAATTTATGTATACGTAAAATTTTAAATATTAAATCAAAATTTGGTGTTTAACGCGCTTATACTAACATTGTTATTCGTTAGTTTTCCCACTATGTACGATGACAAGGTCCCTCCAAACGAAGACAATGTGTTCGCCATTCCAAATATTGTGCCTGAAATATAACCATTGCACATTCATGTCATCGAGTAATTATTTTACAAGCTGTTAGAAAAGGTAGTAAATATTGAATACCTACCAGAAAAATTTGGAGCTATGTCCAGACCATTTCCAAGATAACCACCTGTTACAGCTCCGTTCATCGTCAATGCAATAGTAAATATTATTACCGACCACACTTGATTATCTCCAAGATACACTTGTAAGATCATCAAAAGACCTGGCGTAAATACTCCTGTAAATTAAAACTTTGTTTTTTACATAAATTCAAAAAACTGTAAAATAAATTTTATAACAAGTAACATGGAATTCCAAAACAAAATCATTTAAAGAAAAATTACCGATAAATGTAAAGATTTTTCTAGTCATTGTCTTTGATATTTTCTCAGAATTAAGTAAACGATCAGCAATTATTCCAGCTAACAATGCCATTAAATATTTGCCCAAATAAGGAAGACTAGATAGGAAACCATTCTGAAATTGTGATAGTGATTAATGTATATTTTAAACTTTATTAATGTCACAAATTAAAAATAAACACGATGAATAAAACATAGTATGTATACTTAATTATATGCATACCGATTTAATGTCATAATGAAGTAAATATTTCATATAAGTAGGTAACTGATTAACAATAGTAAAATAACCAAACACACTAGCTCCGTGTGTAATAACTATGGACCATACAGGTAATGACGTCAATATTTTTATCCATGGCAGTTTTTTTGGCTATATAAAAAAAAAAATGAAATCTTATAAATTAAAATAATTATAATTTAATCTCTTTTTAAGTAGGTTAAATCAAAAATTAAGTGAATATGTACAAGATAAACAGAATATTTTCTTATCCGTTCTAATTAATTGTATAGCACAACTACACAAGTATAATTTGGATTATTCAAATTTCAAGTAGTTTGTTGTCTATGAAATAAAATTAAATAATAAATGGGCTTGGTATTTAAATCTTACTGTATTCATATAATTTAAAATTCATTGTATTATTATATGATATTATCGTAAAGTACTTAATATTAATCAACATGATAAATCTTTAATTTCATTGATAGGTTCTAGAATAAATATTGTTGAGACTCGTTATTACCTTTGTACCAGGTTTGCTTTGCTTAGCTATTTCTGTTTCAATATAATTTCTTTCGTATTCGGTTATTCTAGGATGATCGGCAGGTGTTTCAAAAACTAAATTAAACCACAATACAGACCATGCAAGACCTACTAGTCCAGTGATATAAAATGCCGATTCCCATCCCCATGCAGAAATTAGTATACCGCAAACTGGCAATGTAATAGCTGCGCCTAAAGTAGAAGCTAGAAATTTCAATACAATTAAAAATTAGATAATTTTAGTAACAATTTAATAGATAGCTTAAATATAATTAAAAATAATTTCAATGGATTTGTTTTTATATTATTTGAATAATTGTTTATTACTATTTCAGTGACATTGTTATTGCTTGATACATAGAAAATGTATGAACATTGACTATAATTATAGGGTTCAAATAATTTTTTTGTTTTATGGTGTAGTTTTTTTTAAAAATTTAATAAATTCGTAAAAAAATATAATTTATATCAAATAATTAGAAACAAAATCCAATAATTTCATAGTTTTATCATGCATAATTCGTACAGTTTACCGTTGGATTACAAGTACTATTATCTATTTACAAGCGACAATATTTTTTCATATCTATAATCTTTATATTATACAACTATTATCATAAATATAGGTACAACGACTAATAGCTAATTCACAACATGTTTGTTTTTTAAATAATCATTCTAAGATTATATTTTTATGCATGATGTATAAAAATATTCAAAATTTCTTCCCACATCAATAAACAGTTTTAAAATGAATTTGAATTAATCAAGATACGAGACAATGCACTGCAGTGCAATTGGCAAATTATTTTTAGTGTCAGCATATTAAACTAAATTTTTCTACATACTATACAGAGTGTTTTATAATTAATAGTTAAGAACTCAATTTTTTTATGGCAGTTTAATAAATTAATAAACCTTATTCGTTTTAAAAATACGTAACAATACAAAGTATACTATAAAAATTGCTACTAAGTAATTTTATTCTATAGCTAAAAATAAAGAGGTATAAATAAAAAGTAATCATCAATAAAAAAAAAAAAAAAAATGGTTTAAAAAATAGTTTAATATAAAAGCAGTAAAATTTTATGTTAAATGTCACAGTACCCATCATGTTGGACATGAACTTGCTGCGTTCATTTGGTGGAATCCAATTAGCAGCAATTGGTAATATAGCCGGCCATGTAACTCCCTAAAATAAAAATAAAACAGATAAAAGTTACTTAATAATATTATAATTTTATTGATCATACTTTTTAACAAATGATAGAAGAAAGTAATTGAAAATGTTTAAATCTACTGTTACATTTCAAAATTACTGTAGGTAAATCAAATTATAATTTAAGAATAACAATTAAAAATAATTAAATAAATTACCTAGTTTTTCAAAATATAATAAACAGTATAACTAAGTTCCAAGAATGTTAAATTAATTTTCATTTTATAAATAACTAGATGTATAACACGACTTCAACCGATAAAAAAGAATAAACCTATTAAGATAAGGAACTATATCGGTGAATAAACTATATAGAAGTTAGGATATTTTTGAATATGGTTCAAACTACTCGCTAAGTTTTTCTGATATCTAAACGAATAACTTTTAAAGCTTATGTTAAAATTCGTAAATAAAATATGAGTGAACCACCCTATATTAACCTATACAATTTGAAAAACAAAGCAAAGAACATTCCTTGAGTCTTTAGGAATGTGTATCTATGCAAAATTTGATGCCAATTATTTCAGTATTTTCTAATTCTATAAGTCCAATACAAATGTTAATTAATTTATATACGTTACTAAAGATAGATTTATTAGATATATAATATTTTTATTAATTAGTAATAGTTTTTTTTATTATTTTATTTTAGAGATTTATTTATTTTTAATAAACTTTTTAACCACATATCTACGACTAGAAAGTTTATTAAGTTTTCTAATTAATTATATAAATATATTTAACAACAAAATAAACTATTTTCCACGTATTATATGCGTAACATATATATACCTAAAAATAAAACAATCCATTTCATAGATGCACATACTAAAAAAAAAATGTGTCAATCTACTTTTTAAACATGTTTATTGTAAAAAATATATTGAACAATACTCACTAAAGTAAATCCTAAAAATACTCGGCAAAAAATTAGGCAATATATGCTGATTTTTGCAGCCATAGGTGTCAATAAGGTAACCATAGACGCTAGCAACATAGAGTAGCCGAAAACCGGTCGTGCTCCAATCATTTCCGCTAAACGACCACCTGGCAATTCCGTAAGAACATAGCCCCAAAAAAAACTGCCCAATATCATATTTTGTTCGTACTCGGACCAATTAAATTTCACAGCATTAGGTGGATTGGAATATGTCAAACTCACGGTGGTCTGAAAAAATCAATACATTATAATTACTTATTAGATAATAAATACTAAAATTAAAAAAATAGTTACCTTCCTTAACATACCCAAGAGTTTCTTAAATTTATACTAAAATTGTTTATATCCTGAGATCACTTTCTAATAATTTATAAGAACATAACATAACCGATTAACTGGTTTACATTAACTATATTGTGAAAGACGAAAACCAAACATTGGTGTAACACCGTCTTGATAATAAATTGTTAATTTATCAATTTAAAATTAAAATCCAATTATTATTCACTAGGCTTCGTCAATTTTTAATTCAATTAGCGCCATGCATCAGTAACATTTTTGATCATGGCCTTCTATTATTTCTAAAAGCATAATATAATAAAATACTATCAAAGTCGTATGAAAAATCCAAGTAATTATTATTTTATAGACTTGTGAGAGGATTTTTTTTTACACTCCCTTACGTCTCTTTTCTTGTGCCTACTAAAAACTTACTAATTAGTAATTACTAACAATTATTATTTGTCACTTTTGAATATTATTTTATATTAGTGTAAATTAACCAAACATTATAATACGTATTGTTCCTAGATATATAATACAGAGATACATTAAATTTTTTGTAGTCTCTTTTAAATATCTATTCAAATATTAAATATTAAACAATGTTGCAAATATATATTAATATTTATGTTATTATATACACAGCTATATTTATTTTTTGTGGTTAATTTTAATTGAAATATTTATGAAAGTATTTTTGATATTTAATTTAATGAATTTATGCAATTGATTAATGTCCATAAATTATTATAAATTAAAAAATAATAAATTATTTATATTATAATTATTTATTTATTACTACCATTTTTTTTTTTTTTTTTTTTGAGTAAACAAATAGTAGATACATTCTATGAATAATAAGTAGGTATAAATCAAAATTACATGACTTCTGATTTCTATAAGTTATTTATTATATAAGTTAAAGTTAAATACCCACAACCGATGATTTCTTAACTTAATCAAATTTAATATACTTAAATTGACATTAATAAAATTGTGTACACATTTGAACAAAAATTGTGGAAAACAGGAAAGTCTGTATAATGCATATATTAAACTATCACAAAACATATTCTTCTATTTTTTTATTGTGTACCTATTGAAATAACGTTTAAACTTAGACACATTAAAAATATAAGAATAGTTTTATAATTTTAATTTTATTTAACTATAAATTCATAAAAATCAAGTATAAGAAATTAGCATAGTTATGATGTTTTCTTTTTCTATTGTTTGTTTATAGTAAAATTATCAAAATTTTATGTTTTTATTCAAAACCGATATATGAATTACAAAAAAAATGCATAAACTGAATGTCACAGTAATAAAATTTTACAAAATCAACAAGGATATAGGTAGCCTTAGCAATGCATGTCATTATACTATGCGCCATAACGGATGGATGATCACAATGATATTTAAAAATTTTAAAATATAATTAACATATATTTTAGTATATCATAAATTTATTATTTATGAAATATATAAATAATCAGGCAATACATTAAATTAAATTTTGCAATTCATTTAAAAACCAAACATATTAAATTAAAAGAAATAAAAAAATAACAGTATTTATTATATTATATGAAAAAAAAATAAAAACCTGATCTTTAAAACATATAGAATTTACGAGCATATATACTCGATGTATCAGGTATCGTGATAATTTATAGCATGTTATATTTGTATTGAGCTAATATTTTAATTCTATAACCATTACTTTAAGTACTAATATCATTTTTTTTTTTTTTGTTTTTTTTTTTATAATCATTACAATATTTTAAGATTTACATTTTAAATAAAACAAATTATAAATTGTAAAAAAGTAACATAATTTTATCAATAAAATGACCTAAATGAGAGAAATTATTATAAAATAATATTATTCCAAACTTTAAGTATACAATTTGAAAATCTTTAACATATCATTATAATAGCTTAAAACTTAAAAATATAACATATAATAAACAAATATCAAAAAAAAAATGTTATCACCTATTGGTTATTAGAATGATTTAGCCTATTTAGAATACTTATCCTAACATAATATTATTTATCATTAAATAATAATTAATTAATGTATTAGATGACGTAATTATTATAAAATATTGTAGACTATACAGATGTAATTTATACCTATATTAAAACATTAAAGGTCATAATATTGGTTATAATCGAAAACAAAAACCAATTAAATTGGTTGTAGTTATATGGCCATTAAAAACTTAAGCTATATCGTGATTTGATGCCCTAAATTATTATTGATAAATTATAAACTATATTTTCATTACCTTGGGGCACTTAACCTAGTAATTAGAAAACATAATACATTTATATTAATCGTAAATAATTTTATTATACTAACCATTCAATATAAATAATTAAGTATACATAAATTAGAAAATTAAAAATATAGCTAGTTTTATATTTTTTTATCATCATCATTTTTTTGATCATTTATCCTAAAAGTTATAAATCTGAAGATAAAAAAATTACCTATCTACTTATCATAACATTAAGTGTCCTCGGTGTGAATTCACAACAGTGTAATAATTTTTGTACAAATTCGTTCATCATCTAATGATTAAGAATTTTAATTCATAAATATTATATAATATTCATTTATCAAGATTATTTTGAAAAGTGTGTTTTATTTATATGATAATATATAACATCATAAACCTATATTGATTATTGAATATAAATAAAAATAATAAATATTTATATATATACTAATAACTAATCTAAATCAAAACTGAATTTTAAGATTTACTGAACACTGGATCGTAGAAAAAGAAATCAACTTAATAAAACGGTATTTTAAATATCTAACAATTATTAAAATTTTTTATATCAACCAATTCATCCATCAAAACATAAATTTTAATATTTTAATATCTATAATAGATACCTATATTATATTATGACGTATTATTATAATATAATATATTAAATTTATTGGTTTTACAATAATTGTTTAGGTTTTTATTATTTATTTATATAATATAAATAAATATGTTATCATTTTCCAAATATGAAAACTTTTTAAAAATATTTTGGATCTTTTGAAATTTTTTACTTCAATTTGGTTTTTTTTTTTTTTTCGACTTTAATATCGACTAATATCGTTTGCTTAGAAGTAAAAAAATTTAGTAACTTGATAAAAGATTTATCAATCTATTTGAAATAATTAAAAAATATTGAAAACACAATTTTTATTTCTATTTGAAATTCAACTATTGACAAAATTCATAAAATCCCGAAAACTGCATATTTTAGTTAATAATTCATTACATTTTTAATTTTTAAAGCTTATGTTTGAAAATTTAAAACAGAATTTTCAAAAGTTTTCATTACAATAATTAAAATAGAAAGTATTTTGTAAAGCAACATTAATTTTGTTATGAGCGTTTGAACTTCAAATTGAATAACATTAAAAAAAGATAAAGTACGCAATATTCTACTTATTTAAAAAAAAATTTGTTACATTTTTCCAAAATATGAACAGTAAAATTAAAAGCTTTTAATATAACAAAAATAAATGTTCTGTTAAAATGCAATAAGGTATGAAGTTTTATACTGTGGATTAAAATCATTAATCAAAACATTCAAATATATTTTTCTTTTCTAATACTTTTTTTTTTTTTTCATTTTAAATTATTCCCTCGAGGAAAATAATTGAATAACAAAGATAATACATTAGGCATAAATGATAAAATACTAATATATTTATTATTTACAATAAATTATTTATATTAAACAGTTTAAAATATATACGTAATTATTCGTGAAACAAATCGTACTTTGATCTTAATATATATCAAATCTTTGATTTATCTTCAAAACATTCTTCAAATTATTACTACAACGTAGTTCAATACTATTTATACAATTATCATAGTTTGGTGTTTTTATACTTGGTAATGAATAACTAATAATATACAATATAACATAGTCACTTACTGTACCTACTTTTGACTTGATTTTGTTTTAAATTATTTTAATATAAATTAAAACCCTAAAAGTAGAACGCAAAAATGCTGAAATAATTTAAATTTATTTCAATTTTAACTTTGCGAAATCAAAAAATTAATATTACAGCTAATGTCAGTGAATATCTATTGGAGAAGGAAAAGTATCAAGTTGCCATTTTAATAAAACAAGATAAAACGCTACTTTTTATAATAAGGATATTAACATGATATGCAACCCAGAAAAAATAAAACCATTGAGATATCATATAGCATTTTACTGGTATATTCCAAAGGTCTATCTATTTTAATTACCGCCATTCTTTAAACGCTGAGTAATTAATCCGTAAAATGTATTATAAGTTATATCATTGCGAATTGCAAATGTCCTATTGTTATACTTTCATCCTTGAAGCAATCTGATATTCTAAGAATGTATAATACTACATATTATAATTGTTAAATAATAGTTGTTGATTTAATATTATTCAAAAATTCATGTAAACATTCGTAATTTATTTACTAAAATAGGACAATAACTACTGATTATAATAAATAATTAACTTACCAAATTTAATAATGAGCATGACTAACCTATTACCTAACGATTAATGGTTATTAATTATTACAAATGGACAATTCTAGTAATCAGCATATTATAGTATAACTGTAATATACTAAAATATTTAAGAATCAACTCATGATATAACGGAAATCTCGGTACAACGAACAACACTTTCGTTATCTTGAAAATATCTTGATATGTATTTAAAAATGTGAATATAGCAAGTTCTCGATATTAGTAACAAACTTTTTTTTTAGGTCCTCTGAAATTCATTACATCGTGAGTTGACTACAGTATATTTTAAATTATTTCATATACAGTTTCAGTGAAAATAAAACTAACCTCGTGTATCCAACTCCAAACCCAAATAACTTCAAATTTAAAGTATATTATATTACAGAAACATACGAGGACTTAATTTTCCACAAATGTTACATGTTTGTTTGTTTTAGCACTTCTAAGACGTTTTTATCTCAATAATGTAAAAATGTATAAACACAATAATTGTTTAAATATATAATAATTAACATTTACTAATGATATACGTTTAAATCAATGATACATACAAATATATAATATATCTTTCCTGCGTTTTATGAACTACTAACTGGTATAAATATAATGAAAATGTATACGATGTATTCAAGTTGTTACAACAATTTTCGTTTGAACAATAAAAATTCTTAAGTTAAACACAAAAATTACTAAAAATTCCAATATTACACTTATTGATTACCATATATTTATGTATTAATAATGTAGTTTTCATTCAATATTTTTAAATACAATTTTGAAGAATTAAAATCTGTTAATAAATATTTGAAAATAATCACTAATCAGTATATATTATATTCATGAAATATTTTATATTTATTTAAATATTATTTTATTTCATTTTACTCATAAATTATATTTAATTATAAAATAAATACGAAAATCATCCATATAAATGATTTTTTCCAACGTCTTTAATCGAGTGCTATATTTATTTCCTAATAGTTTATTTTATTACCTTGTAATCAAATTTTATTTTTCTAACAAATAACTAATATTTATAAACAAAATATTATTTCGTTGATAATTTAATTGAATTTGCAAAATTTTTCATGTTTTCACAGAGACAACAAAAATAGAACCCGATTTTAATAATACTATCATAAAAAACCAATGTTTATTGTTTTGGTGTGGGTCCAAAAACTTTTAGATTTCGTGCCAATGATGTAAAATAACTGACCAGCAATATGTTGTCATAAAGTAGTGAAATTAAATTCAAGGGCAGTGTTTCTCGTAATAGCCGATATTTGAAATTAATATTATTTAAAACACTTTAAAATATATCATTATAAAATATTGAATATGAGATTAGTAAGGTACTTCACTAATCATTATAATAGGTAACATTGACAAAATCTTCAATCAATTTTGCGTGGATCGGTATAATTTGTATAATAAAAATAATATTAGTTGTACTTACATTTGTTTCATTTAATGGTAATGAAAAATTAGTGGCTTGTTCTATTGAGACATTTTGTTTATGGTTCGGTACCATGTCTACAATGGCTATTGTGAAGTTTACTCGTAGCATATAATTGACCATAAATCCAAATAAAACCATAAGATTTAATACTCTTGAACAGTTCATCGACTCTATATAAAATTAAAATTTGTCAACAAAAACTGGAAAATATGCGTTTAAAGAGTATCGTATTATAACCACTAAAATACTTACTGTTTTGTTTAATGACCAATCCGGTCTCCACGTTGGCTGGTTCTTCTTTTTTCATATTTCTATAGTTACCAACTTTTAATTCTAAAAAAACCGATCACTTTAGTCCTAAAAATATCAAATAATTTTTTATAATTACAAATGATGATATTAACAAAATTAATATATTATATTTAATGTTTAAATGTATATATTACTATTATCAATTTAAATATGTAAAGCGAATAATAATAATAATAATATACAAATACAGATTGAAGATTAATATCGCTTAATTATTTAGCTAGAAAATAAATTCATAGATAAGACACAATTTTTGCAAATCCTAACATTTTAATACATCTATAATTATATTTCTTATATTTTAAATGTTGAACTTTGAATGATTTAAAATAGGTATTTAAAAAATTTTATTTTTACTTTTTTATTTAACATACTAAACTATAAAATAAATCACGCAGTTTTATAAACATTTGATGATTAAATAAAAATATTTTACAATTTTACATTTAATATTATACATATACAAGTAGCACAATTGTATTAATATCAATGAAAGTTATACTTGTGATTAAAATAAATATTATTACAATAAAGACAAATTATATTAATAAGGTATCACGAATGACCTTGTACGTATATGTACTATAATGTACCTACTTAACTAAAGTTAATCCTTTTATTTTTTAAACTATCTTACACGAAAGGACTAAACATGCAATATGTACAAAGTTTGGATTTATTTAATCAATAAAAATTAATTATTAATAAAAAATTTAACAAAATAAATAGCCCAGAATTTAATTAAAATTACCAATGTCTCTTCAAAAATAATTTGTCCATCTAAACCTTATTACTATACCAATGCTAACTTTAAAATTTTTAAAATTTTATGAAATTAAATTATTAAATTTTATTTAAGATACAAAAATTTATTTTAAATTAATTTAAAAAGGAACTTTTTTGTGGATTAAAATACAACTTTTATTCAGAATATTTTAGTCAAAGAAAAAATTAGTTTACTATCAATGTTATTACCTGCACAATTTATATAATATTTAGATATGTATAACTCATATTATTTATGATATTATTTAGTTAATAGTAATTACTATACTATACGAGTATATCAATCGATAAAAGAATTTACAAAATTCAGAACCAAACATAGATATTCTGTATAGAAGAAATATCGGTAACACAAACATCATTTAATATTTCAAGTTCATTGTTGAAAGTCGATATATCTCGGTTGCACGAAAAAGCTAGGTCAACTTACATAATATAATCATTATTTTTGTAAATGTGTTACAAAGTTAATCAATAAAAATTGAATCTAATAGAGTGTATCACAGAGTAATCAACAAATTTAAATAAAATACATAGCTCTTTATTATTATGATGATATACTGCATCTTCTACACTTTTTGAGATTCTGAAAAAATAAATTTATATTAAATTTATTTATTAATACAATTTCCAGGATGTCTATTAATGTAGTTCCTCTATTAATTTGTATTTTAATTAATTGAAGCCTCAAATCATTGTAAGCTACATCCATCGTCATAAGAAAGATACTACAGTTTTTACATAAATTCGAAAAAAAAAATCTGTACAAATCACAAATTTATCAAAACATAATTATTTACCAAAAAAGATAAAAATAAATAAATACACTAGAAATAGCTTAATGCATTTTCAACTAAGTTCTAAAAATTCAATTTTCATTGTATTACGGAAAAGTTATAACAATAGCATTATGTATATAAAATAATATTTATATCAAAAAAGTATACCTATATATTTTGTAATAAATAATATTATTCGTTTATTTTATTGTACTTTTAAATTGTGAGCAAAAAAATAATGTATTTTAGGTAAATATTATTTTCAAATAATTCATATTATTATTATTTAACAAATATATACAGTTTCTCTATAATTATTCGGAAAAAAAATCATCGAAACGGTTTAATTCAATTATATGCATTTAAATGTATACAAAAATGAATATATTTAAGCTTAACTTTAATACTTACAAGTGCGTGTTACTAGACTGTATTTAATATTATGCGAAAATCTATATAATATCATGTACAACACTGTAAGCAAAGCACTCTCTAGTACCATATAATATAATGTTTGTACATATTACGTTTATAATATTATTTACAAATCTTGAAGACACTATTCAAAATGTAAATTATTAAGATATGTATTTTATTTCATATAAATGTTAATATAAATCGCTGTTTAAAAATACACAAATTTAATTACCTAGTTTATTAGATATTAAAATACGAATAATCAATAATCTACTACAAAATCAAGAGTAAAAATAAGCACAGTCGTATGAAAAAGAATAATACAAACACGAAATCATTTTTACAACGTAAATTATCTATATTCTATTAGGTATATAGAATTAGGAAATAATTGTACTGTTTAATATTAGTACTTATATTAGTTAAATATAACAATACAAACTGCAATAATGCAGTAATTATTTTATTATATTGAGATAAGTACCTACTAAAAGAATTCTTTCTTTAAGTAAAAAAAGAGAAAGGAACAGTGATTGATCTCATCTCTATAAAAGAGATCGAATTATATTCACTTGATTTCAAGTAAATTGATTTTACTAAGAAATTAATTTCAAATAAAAATAGAGCGAACATTTCTTTTACATACTATAGTTTTATAGCTAATATTATATATACTCTCAAAATAATAAACAACCTATTAATGCATATACAAATACAATGTTAGTATTTTTTAGCATTAACATATAATTTTAAGTTTAATCTGTTGTTTTGTAGATAAATTTAAAAAAATATAGTATTAACTATCAATTATTATTTATTATTATTTGTAAATTAAATTCCTCAGTATATAAACTATAGAATGTATCATTAAAAATCATTATATATACCGAATTATGAAGCATCCGTGGACTATAGTAAACTTCAACTGATAAAATCGATATACCTAATTGAACTTATATGATAGATGTTTTATTATCACAATATATTATATGACTATAAACAATTTACTGTTATTAAACGCAAAAAAATATGATAAACGTTTGAAAATAAATAAGCCTTTACAATTTTCTTCACAAAAAACAATATTTTACTATGTACTTACCTATATTAAAGTATTAAATATTTGTTTCTAGGAGTATAAATTATGTATTATTACATGAATATTAATTGAATTAACAGTTGATGAAGATAGACATGCATAACCATGTTCTAAAACAAAAACAATTAAAAATAAACGAACTTCAAACGAAATATTCTTAGAAGAATATTTGAATTAAGAAAACCATCTTAGAAAATTACGAAGTAAGGGTAAACCGAGGTAAAAAAAAAAAACTGCATGGAGAAATAAATATAGTCAAAGCCATTAAGAGCAGTAGACTAAGTTGAATCAGTCTTACATGGAAATTAAAAGGGTCCATTATAGTTTTGCTACAAGATAAAAACTACACAAAATCGACCAAGAAGTCAGCGCAAGCAACTTAAAGGAAATAGGATCGAAAAATACTTAGCATTTTTGGTATCGATGGACAAAATGTAGAACAACTAGTAAATAAGAGGGAGAAATGGAAACAATTGATGGTTGCGACAATGGACCTAAACGGCCCGTAAAAATCCAAAAAAAAGATTATATTAATGTAAGTATTAGTTTTATATTATTTTGTGTATGAATATAAAAGCTGAATAATCATACAAAAAAAAAAACCTTAATTAAAATTGTTAACATTTAAACCTGTTAAATAACTACTTTAACCATGGGCGTCACCAGACATTTTTCAAAGGGGGGGGATTAATTTAAAAAATAAATAAAGATTTTTTTTATACATTTTATTTATATTATATTATCATATTTTGTCATTATTACAATTAGATATTATTATTATACATTTTATTTTTAGAACATTATTATATTTCGTCAGTATAACATTAAATTATTACAATTAGGAAACAAATTTAAAATTCTAGGGGGGGGGGGGGCAAGTGCCCCGTCTCCCCCCTCTAGGGACGCTTATGACTTTAACTGATAATAACGTAAAAATTAAACAAGGACAATACATACATTTTGAAACTATGATCTAATTAATTAGTATAAATTATAATAAATATTTATCATGTTTTAATTAGTTGTACATTTTTTTTTTACAATATTATAGATTTAAATTAGAGTAGATAAATGTTAAATTATATAATTCATTAAAATATTAAGTTACAAAAAGTAACATTAAAACAAAACTAATAGTTTTTAAAAAATTTAACAATATCTAATAAAATAAAGAAAAATTAAAAATGCCCAGATTTTTATTAATTATTAATTAAGAATCGGAAATATTAAAAAAGTAGATTATTTTATGAAATTAACAACTATACATCTAATAAAAATAAAATATTATGCCATTTTCGAAAAACCTGTTATTAATGTCAAAAATGTGTTATTAAATAATAATAATAACATGACTATATAGTATCCATATAATTTTCTCTAAATTTATAGACGCTTATTTTATTTTTTATGTGTATTTTTAACATCAAACAATTTTCTAATATTAAAAAAAAATAAACGTAACACTGAGTTTTGTAAAAACTAAATTAACTTTGATACATTTATCAAAACATAAGCGACAACTATAACCAAATCTGTATGAATATCTCTTTCAATATTAAAAAATGTCAAATTTAAAACCACCGCACATACCTGTTTTTGGACAATTTTTTGCCACATTAAAGACATTTTTCATGACTTATTATTTAATATGTATTACGCATATTTATCCAATTAAACATGATTTAAAGCATACATTATATAACATTTTGTTTAAACTATTTAAAATATATTTAAGTAGTTTGATAAGATAAGAAACACAAACTGTATCTTTTAGTGGCATGATACAAATAACAAAAATATAGTTTATAAAATAAGGTAACTAAAATTGCCAAGTTCTTGATTTCAAATAAGCTTTATACTCAAAACCAACCAGATTAATTTAAATATAATAAACATTATTGACAATAATAACACGTATCCTTCAAAAAATAATAACATTTTGGTAATGAATAGTTGATAATTTTGTGAATTAAGAAATTATGAATTATTAAACTAAATAATTATTTAAAAAATAAATTCAAACATAATTCAGTAAATTAAAGATTTAACATAACATTAAATAAAACACTGTAAATATCTATTTAATATAAATTAATAATAAGTTAAAAATTATACTTCAAACTTATACTGTATAGATTGGTGCCTTCTATGATGTAAATTATATCGATCTGTAAATATTATTGATTTTTAATTTAGTTCGACTAAAGCTATACTTCCTGTTATTAGCACACATTTATCAAACAATTTATACATTTTAAAAATCTAATCTTATAATTTTCATTTTTCATTGAACTAAAAGAAACTTTTGTTTAAAGTTTCAACATTAGACAAGCATCTATTTTGCATACATATTATTGTAAAGTATACGTATATTATCAAATATTTGTATGATGGTAGTATTTTACAACTATTAATTATCCAATTAAATTCTAAGGTAAACAATCTATAGATGTATCACTTCGTGTATATGTATGAATTTATATAATATAATACAGATGTATATTTATAAATATAAAGCTGATTACCTACATAAGATATATGAAATAAATAAATCTTTAGTATCGTAATCGTATAAATATTCAAAATCTATAAAATAATAAACGCAAAATTATCTACAATACCATTTTTTTCTATTGTGTATTTATTAATCTATAACTATAATAATTGTTTATTCAGATTTATAAAAAATATAAAATAAAAACTTATAAAATTACCTATGAACAAAGTATTATATATGTAGTATACTAATAATATTATGTACTATATGTAGGTTAGTTGTTTTTTATTATTATTATTATTATTACTGTTACAAGTATGAGAATTTACGGTAGAATCAAAAATACTGGTCACCTCCGAATAGGTACAAATAATTTCTTTTCATCCACAAGAAAGAGATTAAACGAAAGTAGGTAAGTAGGTATATCAGTTTATGTAGAAAACACTTAAAAAAATAACTTTTCAGAAATCTGTTATAATATATTATGCAACACTATAACTGCAACGATATTAATTCCGTTTATCATTGAATTTCTATTTACAAATAAAACTAAATAAGTAAGTTGTTTGCTATATAAAACTACAAAACAAGTATTTAATTATTACATAATATATTTAAATATTTGTGTAATTTAAGCCAATAAAGATTTTGCATTTGAAATCGACAGTTAACAAAAATCCGTTACACATTAAAAATATACCTATGATTAATTTTTTTTTTTTAATTATCTACTTTATAATCTTTTAGTAAATATAAAATATAAAATAAAAGCACGTGTAGTTTGGTCAAACAATGATACACTTATATACTTTGTGTTCTGTATTTTTCTCCGGCTATTTAAATTATAAACCTAATGCTCTAATAAATGTGTTCACTCGGATAAAACGCATAAAACGATTGGTGTTATGTATATACTAGCTTACCTCTACGCTATTAGTATTTTGAGTGATCACGTGTTGTGCGTTTTTATTATTTATTTTTTTAAATTTCTCGTATTATAATATATTAATTACAAGTATTACGTTTGTGATTGGTGGTCTATGCGAGCTAACGCTATTATTAAGCGCGTCACGGAGAGCAAAATACTACAAATACTACATTACATGCACATCGTTTTAATATTGTACTGATGGATTTTTTTAAATTGAAATCAAATCAAAATATAAGACTCACGGTTTGTGTGACTTGGACCCCGATTGCGAGTGGATGAGATTGAATTTAAGATAAAAACTTAGAAAAGAAAATTAAAAAATATTATCACAGACACGGACGGACGATTACACACGCGCATACACGTGTGTTCCACGCAGCGACGTACGAACGTAGTGTGTAGGATTTGCGTCGGTAAAGACGGGAGGTTACAGAATTATATATATATTATATGTGTGTGTGTGTGTGTATATGTATATTATTATTATTATTGAAACGGACGACGACGACGACGACGACAACGACGATAGCAGCGGCAGCACGACGATATTATTATAAAGCGGTGGGCAAAAACCACTGGGGACACACGCGCACACTACAGCGACAACCGTCCTGCACTCTGCTACAGGTGCGTGGCGCAAGCACTGTGAATAACAACAATTTTCTCGCGAGCCGTTACATCGTCGATTGTCGGACGGTCGATAGAAGACGACAGCGTCTCAGTGGCGTGGCAAATGCACTGATGGTAAAAATAATTTTCAAATAAACGTCGGCGATCCAATAACAATCAAATGCAGTAGAATTCAACGATAAATTATAATTATCATTATTATTATTTTTATTATTATTGTTATTATTATTATTATTATTATTATTATTGTTATTATTATTATTATTATTATTATTATTATTATTATTATTATTATTGGGCAACCGTAATTTGTACGTGTATAATAATAATAATATACGGTGTGCACGCGTAAATCGGCGCAGGATCGTATTATTATATATTCGTTTATTTATTTATTGTGAGCGAAACAAACGGAACGAGCGAACCGCAGCAGACACCGCACGTGAAACCGGCATCGGGTTAACTGCCGGAGGTGCGCGCGCTCTCGTCGAACAAAAAATACGATAAAAATGAAATAACAAAATATAGCCCGCGCGTAACCCATAGTCGTGCGCGTGTCTTCGGCGGCAGCGGCGTCCTCGACTCTCGAATCGTCACTCGTCAGCGCGGCGCTCCCGCGTCATGGTGTTTCCCGCACGCCGACCCAGAGACCTTGTTTGCAGTAAATGGTTTCCCTATCGAATCGCTGCAATGGCCAACTGTTGTTTTTCCTTTTCGATTTTTTCCTGTGCACGTATTTTCGTGTTCTGCGTGGCCTGAGCCCGTGTGCAGCACGGAATCTAATTATCAGAGCCATATTATAAGTGTATAATAAAAATTAAAATTGATTATGTTTTTTTTTTTTTTTACTCCACAGCGCATAACATTTTTTTTAGATCGGTGCAGACATACAATTATTTTCTTATGGTTAGTGTATCTATACAATACAATACGTATAAATAGGTGCCAAGAATAACAATTGTGTTTATACGCTCAATCGAAACACAAAAGCCACTAAAACATATTTCATTTTTTGAAAAGAGCAACCGCTCAACGCTCAAGTGTCAAGTTCAATAGTATAATAAGGATAAATAATTATAATACAATATAAAAAAAAATTAGACAATGCCTGTTCTTCCCTGCGACAACGACACGCGACGGGTATTTTAAATTTTCAACGTTTACATAGTTACTCGCCGCTAATTGTACTAACTTTGGAACCACAGAATTTATGCCTATTAGCAGAATGATTCCATAGTTCAAGAATAAAAAAAATATATGTATTTACACATTAAAGTAAAAAATTAAAATTTGGTTAAGCACTATTAGATATTTATTATTATTTATTTTAAATGTAGATTGTCATTCGTATAGAAATGATACATGAATATTTTAATAATGCTAAAAATATGAAATATTCAATTTTGTCTCGTAATCATTTCAATTTATATAGTAAAAATATTTTTAATAACGTTAATGCTTTTCGATTTAATGAGTAGAAAACACGGTATTAACTATTAATTGCAAAAATACATGCGATAAAATCAGAAAAATTAAAAATTTGCCCTAAAAAATACACATTAATCCCATTAACCAATGAAGTAAATTCAATAAACAAATTGTTTCAAATTTGTTAATTGTTAGCATGCGTGTAATACGGGACCAGCCTTTGTGAGTCCAATAGGTGAATAAGCGGCAACTACTGTTTAACACCGATTGATTTCTATTTTCTACTACGGATTCCGTGCGTATTATAAATCGTTTTAATAAGATATCTAATAATAATATACAAATATTCTTATGCGGACAGTGAACTGCGATTACACACAAAAAAAAAAAACCGACAAATGGCGAATTTCTGTCACGTGCAGACTGGCGTGATGGAACATAGAGACGGGTAGGGCAGCGGAAGAGAGAACGATAAAGTCTGACTGATCTGTAAGTACTTCTCCTGTATATTTTGTCATTCAATATTTCGACGTAAACTAAATTATTAAATATTTTTATATTTTATGTATTATAGTGTTATCATCCATAAGTATGCATCATGTAATACGTAATAATATGTGCACACTCATTACTATAACGACACTGTCCAGGACGCCCACAGCGTTGTACGCGTGTTTACAATGTTTACATACTATTATATTTGATATCCTTATATATACATATTTCTATATTATGACTATTTATGAGTAACGAATGACAATTTTTAATGTTTTTTCCCAATTGATTTAATATCTATACATTCGTATTTTGTCTAAAAAACTACTACGTATACGATTTATTTTTTGCCCTGCAGTTTCGAGATGACTCCTATACAATTCCTCGAACTGCGAAGCCCATTACTTATATTTTGGTAATAAAACTGTTATTTTTTAAAAACATATACAATATTACATAATAATATGATGTGTATTTATAATTATTTATTTCTATTTTTTTCATTTTAATAATATATTGTTATATAATAAATTAATAACTAATAACTAATACCATTGATTATAAGTACTGAATAGTATGGATATTGGATATACTTATATTCAATTATCTATACCTACTAATATAGTTAATTTCTAATTATTTTAATTATTGCATGCGCCTTAAGGCCAAAAATTAAAAATAGGTAAATACGCTTACGTACAATTTTTAAATAGATTATTTATTCGTGTCTCCTGAATATTACTGTGTATGCATACCATATAATTATGATAGTCCCCCCAAAAGTTTTTCACTTCATATGTAATTATATTTACACATAAGTTTGTTGCAGACTATAGAAGTTATCGCGATGTCTCAATCGAATAACATATTTCGTTAAAAAAAATTCTGCGTAAACCCTTTCCAGGTAATCCATCCAGAAATCTTCAAATTATGACGTGTTCCAAACTTGCTAACTTTTACATAGATTCTTATTGAACATTGAATTTAAATAAATGTTATTATTTCTAATTTCTATACTTTCATATAGTTATATTTTGATTGCTACATCTATTGACATTTAAATTATTTTCTTTTTTTGAACGTATTTTTCCTGTATTTATTTTTTAATTTTAAAATATGTAATTATAGTTTTACAATTAATTGTAATTATAAACGTTCGTGATATTACTCCGATTACTATAGTCTATAGGTACCAATGTCTTGTAAACATTTTGCATATACCTATAAAATTTATATTCTATTTACGCTATTGTAACTGTCTATCTAGTAACGAACATAGAGCGTGTAAATAATATGGGGTGATACAATACGAGTCTTATAATGCAGGCTCCGCGATCTTATTAGAAAATCCTCGGGAAACGGGCAACGCGTCAGGTTAGGTTATACTATATTGATTATTTTTTATCATTTTGTCATCCTGTACAATCAATATTACTATAATACGATATAATATAATATTTACGCTCTTACGTAAATTATTTGATAAAATTCATTAAAAATTAAACGGTGTGGTGCGGCAGACATACCGAAAACTGACCGCTGACATAAAATAATATTAGGGTTGCCTGATCGCGATTATAATATATACCGTGCGTTTACCAAGAATCACTAATTAATATTTTTGAAAGATCACTTTAGGAATTCGAAATATGCAATATACGTAATAGGTAATCGAAAAAAAATTTAAGCAAAATCAAAAAAATAATATGTAAACCTCATTTAATTCACCGTCAAAAAACATTATTTAAAAAATCAACTTAATTTTTGCGAACTAGATAAAGTTTGTCCACAGGCCGCATATAGCCAGCAGGCTACCATTTAATAACTCCTGCCGTATACTAAATGGACCACAGTCGATGTGACTGACTTTATGATGTGATTGACATCCATAAATTATTTATTTGTAAACAGATAACCATGATATTTTCTGTTGATCAGTCTTAATGGCTTAAATCAGCGGTTCTTAACCTTTTGTAGAACATGGACCCCCGATAAAATATTTTTTAAATCGCGGACCCCCCCCCCCCCCTACCAATTTTTGTCGAATACCTTTTTTTACAAAACATGTCAAGTTATTATAACCAAACTTAAAATAACTATTTTATATTACAAATTATAGAAATAGACATAACAAAATATATACATTTATAATTATTTTTATTAAACGTAATTTATCATTTTAAACTTTAATACGTGACATGAGTGCAATATTTACTTAATATCAACCATCGCATTACCACTTATTAATTAAGTAAATAAAAATTAAGTTTTAAGAATATTAAGAATAAAATAATTTATATTACAATTTTTTTTTAATTCAAGTGTTTAATGATGTTAACTTATGTTAGGTGGTAATGGCTGTCGCGGACCCTCGACATGAGTATTGTGGACCCGGGACCACCAGGGGGCCGCGAACCACAGGTTAAGAACCGTTGGCTTAAACTATAACAGCCACAATTTTCTCAGCATCTACAATGCTTTCCAATTCTCAATTAAACTGTTTTAGCCGTTCTTAATAAAATAGGTAAAATGCACATTAATCGTCATTGTAAATTCACGGATTCATCTAACTAGTCGTATTGGGATAACTAAACTACCATTATTTAGGATTTATTATAATTACATGATGCCACAGCCTTGATCTAAAAATCACATGATCGTCTTAAAACAGAAATGAAAAACATAATCTTGTAGTCTTGTATGCATTTCAATT